TCTATGTGTAAGCTGTTCTATTGTTTTAAATCAGTGTCCTTGTGTTGTGCATGCGAAGAATTATTTTTGTACTGTATGTGCTTTAATACCTCTTGTATGTGAAAAAAACCTTTTCCATCTGTAAAGTTTTAAAATTTATTAGAAGTGATTTTGAGGAAAAAAAAAAGAGGCCCTCATTGCCATATAAAATTAAGTGAAAGCCAGCGAGAGCCAATAGATTATTTTTAAAATATTGTTTATAATTATTTAAGAGGAAAAAGGCAAAAATATGACCTACCACTTTATTACACTTACAATCTTGGTTTTTGGCATAATCCAGAAAATATCTTTTTGGGGTTTTGAAGCTTTGTGTAAAGTCTGATAGAAATTAAACCCCTCAACCTCTTTCTTTGGATGTTACTTAGTTATAATTTTTGGAGCATTACTGGATTCATATGTTCCTGCAGATATTTGAAGCTTTCACTATCTAAATTTATGCCTGGATTTCAAAAGGGAAGATGATTAAGAGGAATTATGATTTATGAACAAACACTATATTAGTCTGACACTCTGACTGGCTAAGATTTTCTATCTGTAAGAGCTAATAGGGGTTGAAGATTTAGAGCAAAGAATGAGAATCACTGGAATTACTGTAAATTACTCTCCAAATTGATGTTATTTTGTGTTATTGCTATTTATAGTTGCTTTTGAGGATATGGATAATTTGATGGTAAGAGGGAAGATATTCTACTAGAGATTTACATGAAATTTTTATTTGATTTATTTATTGAGGCAGACAAGAACTTTTGACATGCTATTTAATAGAATTTATGACTGCTGATTGTTTGCCTGACAGTCCAGGTGCATGCTGTGTCATGCAGAAATTGAGACCCGGTCATTGATTCCGAACCTTGGTAATTTTTTTTAATTGATTATTCATCTTTATTTGCAGCTTCTCTTCCATTCTTAATTTCGTAAAATGGAACTACACAACCATTCTCTTAAATTCAGAACTTTTTGTCCTATGCAATGAGGATCTAACTGCCTTTTTGTTTTCCTTGTTTTCCAATTTTTTTTTTTTTTTTTTTTTTTTTTTTTTTTAATTTTTACTTTATGGTTCTCATACAGCTCTAAGAGCTGCAGCTGCAACTGTGAAGCAAGAGGATGATCGGCGACTCTTCCATAATTCAACGCTTCGAAAGCGACGGAAAGAAATTGGTGATCAGATAGATTCGGGAAGAAGGATCAACAAGGTACTTGTATATTATGTACTCCTGTTACTAGCTTCTGTAGAATGTTTTTTTTAACACTTTATTGTAAACACTATCACTGTTCTTCTTGGGAAGGCTGTGTAAATTTTACCTTACTAGTAAGGTGCTTGTGTACTTGTGCACGCGTGTGGGTGTATAATGTATTAAGTCACCAGTGTAGTTTAATTGCCTGAAGTGATACATATATGAGTATTATGTAACGAGATACTTCATACTTCAGCTCAACTGAAGGTTCTTGGCAACTTAAATGAATAATAAAAAAAAAAAAAAAACCAAAAACAAAAGAAAGAAAGAAAGTAATAGGATTATCTTTTTTGTTGAATTTCTCTTTCAGAGGAGTTAAATGATGTTTCTCCAAATCAATTTGGGACTAAAGCTTTGTTGTGGTTGTTGTATCTATTTTTCCTCCTATATTGTATTATGTACGGAGTATATTACAATGAGATGGCTGCTCCATGTACTCAGCTTTAAGAGACATACTATCTTGTCTAAGCTTGTTAAGTATTGCTACCTTTGAAATTCTTATTTCCTGTTACCTTTGTATCATGATTTTTGTGGTGTGCTTGGATAGTTGGTTCAGCTATGGACCTGTGGACCTTTGGACCTTTGAAGCAGTTTTTTTTTTTTGGTTGTTGTTGTTGTTGCTGTTGTGGGTCTTGTTACCTTAACTATTGGATCCGTTTCTCTAATTTACATACGATATTTTTTAGGAAGAAGGCGATATTACTTCCGATAGTGGGCTGCAAAGGGTTCATTATCCATTTTCAGTAAATGAGAAAGTGATGATAAAGGTGAATTGTTTAACGGATTCCATTTTCTTCAAGATTGACATGAATATGCTGACTGTTTGTTTAAATGGTGTAGGGAAACAGGAGAACACCAGATAAATTTGTTGGAAAAGAAGCTGTAATAACATCTCAGTGTCTTAATGGATGGTGAGTTGACTCAATTTTGGGGATTGATAATTTTCTCTGGGATCCCAAAACATTTTGGGACTAATACTCTGCTGTTCTGTAATTTTCTTTGGGAGAATCGTCTCCTTTTACTCGATAACCTGGAGTATAATATCTACTTCGACATGAATACATAATTAGGAACATCAACCGTCTTGTCTTTAGCATGCCAGCCTCTGGAAGAAAAGGTTGAGATACAATAATCCTAGTTACCTTATAATATAGCTCTTAAGTTTAGCTAATTAGTGGGTCGTTGGCTTCACCTCTTATCTCCTTCTTTGACTTCTTTAGGGCTTTGATAATTTTTAACTCCATTTAGATAGGGAACATGTGTTGAAGCTAAAAATAGGACCATGGTCCTACTGAAAAATACATCTGTTTCTATATATATATATATGTATATATATATATATATATATTTTGGAAAATTTGTCTAAAAGGTACTTATATGTGTATCTTTTTGTGAAAAAGGGCCTTATATGTTCAAAGTGGTGAAAAAGGTCATTATAAGTTACTTTTGTTGTGAGGAGGGACCTTGACATCGGAATATGACCGCTGACTTTACTTTTCCGGCATTGACCATCATGTAATATGCGCGTGATGTTTTAAAAATGCCTTTTCCTTCTTTTTTTTCTCTTGATTTTAAGGAAAGAGAAGGGATTTCAAGAGAAAACTTGGGGATAGTAAGAGAGAAAATGTGAAAACGTGGGAAAAAATGAACGAAAGGGCCTTTTTAAAACATCACGTGCCACGTGAGTGATGGTCAACACCGGAAAAGTAAAGTCAATGGCCATATTCCGATGTCAAGGTCCCTACTCACAACAAAAGTGACTTATAAGGCCTTTTTTCACCACTTTGAACATATAAGGTCCTTTTTCACAAAAAAGTGAACATATAAGTACCTTTCTAACAAATTTATCATATATTTTTTTTTTCAATATATAAAACCATAAATTTTGTTAATTTTTTACATGCTGGTGAGTTTTTAGCCATCAGGTCATCCGTTTTATGTTATTTTGTTCTGGTATGTCACTCAGGTATCTGCTCAAAATTGTTGGAAGTGGAGAAAGTGTTCGCTTGCAATATAGGTCTCTACGAAAGCTCACTGCTTCTCAGACAAGTGAGGATAGATGTGCATCTGACCCTGTTCAAAGTAGTAGCCAAGAACAAAAATCCTGATTGCTCCTCCCTGCCAAGTCTCTCCTCTTCTCAAGTCCTTGCTTCAGATCACCATTTGTTAAGGTGTGATCTTCATGTAAATTGATCTCAAAGAAAATTAGTCAGTTTTACATCTTGCCTGATTGGCATATTTTTCGTAAGCTTGCGAGTGAGATTTTGATTTAGGTGGATTCTTTACCGTAGCTTGTAATTTGTTGTCTAGAGTTGTGTAATTTGCTGTCTAGAGTTGTGTACAGATCTGTAGGAAGCCTTAGGGCATTTTACCGATACGGCTGCTGTTCTTGCCAACTTTTTACCATGAATCACTACAAAATTAGAGTATCATTTGACCTAGCATACTGTGTACATTTAATTATATCATACTGAGTAGTTAAATCTCGTTTTCTCCCCTTCCCTTTCTCTCCGGTGATCATTAGGCGTCAATCATTCAGAAAAGATCAGTTATTGCTACTCCGAATTATCTTTAAGGCAGCGACGATGCACCAAAAACGAATGCCTTGCTAGATAAATTTAATATCACCAAGGAGAGACTAGTTCTTAAGTTTCAATTCATTGACAAGCAATCAAGTTTAAGATGATACTCTGTACCGTTCTGAGGCTTGCGCTTGAGCAAGGTGTACTGAACTATGTATATGACTACCAATCTACCCATTGCTCATACTTTATAACGCCTCCTACTGTTGGTAAATAGTCATTTCGTGGCGTGTTCATGATTGGCCTCGTGTTCATTTTGCGTCGTTCACAAAATCTATCTTAAACAATATGGAGCATAAAGTGTAGAATAGTTGTATAACTAGGTTAGGTCCCGTGCCATGCACGGTAATTTTTTATAACTATTATTAAATTAACAATGATTTTTTTTAAAATATTATATAATGTAATGAATTTATTTTAAAAGATCCTATAATTAATAATTATAAAAGAGCCTATTAGCCTGATAGTTATTTTTAAAACGCATTTGACAATATGTATATTATTATATATTTAATTTCATAAAAAATTGGTAAAATTTTCTCGTTGTTAACCAAATAGATTTCTTAAAACTTTGTACATTACACTCGGTAGTCACTATGTATGTCACAAATTATGTTAAAATTTGATTTTTTTTCCTCTTAAATTTATAATTGTTAATATTTATTTGTAGAAGGATACATCAAATCTTGTATTTTATCTATTTTTTAATATTTGAAATTCAAATTACTTTCTTGGAGCTTTTTAACATATAATCAAATAAATCTAAATAAAATTATTGTTGTAATAAGTTGTACATAACATTATGGCACAATTATGTTAAGAATCTGATTTTTTATTTTTATTTTTATTTTAGTTTATATATTTGCCAATGTACTCCGTATATGTTATTGAAAATCATATCAAATCTCTTATTTATGTATTATTTTGCTATCTTTTTATTTATGTATAAGATTTATCAAATCGATTTGTTTACTAAAGATTACCAGCATTATTTTTTTAAAAAACTAAAGGACACACCAGAAAATGACACGTGTCATTGCTGGTATGTTTTTTAATATATAGTTATTGATTGATTGATTGATGATTGATTGATTTGGCCAATTTATCAAAACGGACCGTGTTATCAAAACGGATCGTGTTCAAGTTGGTTCCTGCCGTGTCCATATTTTGTTTAATCGAAAAAGGTACACAATCATAATAGTCTCCCTTTTAGACATCAGTGCTCAAAAAAATACTGTAAAAATCAAATCTTTCAAATTGCACAAATCTCAATCTTGGACATTCATCAATTAATTTTCTCCACGATCTCCATTGATATTTCTATCCTCCATTGAAGCAGCTTCTCAGGTAAGATGTTGTTTCCATTTCTACTCATCAAATATCAATTTCGCATTTTAGGGTTTATCGTTAATTTTATTCTAAGTAAACTCATTTTAAGGTTCTCCAGTATGAACTGTTGCTTGTATAATTACAAACCAGCGAATTTGTTGCTAGAGAAGAAAATCATGAGCTTAATTTGGTATTTGAATCAATTATTGCCTATAATGTTAGGATGGAACTATGAAATTGAGTAGAATTATGAGCCTAATTTGATATTTGAATCGAATTTGGTTGCTATTGTGTTGCAGAAGTCTTTGATGTTAGGAAGGAGCTATGAAATTGGAACAATTGAATTAAATTTGGTTGTTAATGTGTTGCAGAACCCTTTAATGTTAGGACAGAGCTATGACATTTGACATTTTCTGTCAGTTCTCGAAGGCGGTAGGACGAGGCCTACTGGGGCTTCTTGCAGGTGAGAGATTTCCCAATTTTCTCCAATTTCTTTTTCTTCTAGTTACTTTTGCTAGGGTTATCTGTGGTCGGTAAATATAGTTTGAGAATGTGTTTTATGGATTAGACTGTTTTATGCTTATTATCTGCTTTGGTTCTTTAGGAATGCTTGTAATGCTTATCATTCATAGGTTATGGTGAGAATTGGTTTTTGAGAGACCGGGATGCAAAGGCATGACCAACTAGAGAATATTATTTGGAAGGTAGTATCTTGTCCATTTTAATCTAATGAAATTCACCTCTGACTTAATAATGATAGATGCCAAATTAATCTTACAATGCTGTATGAAAGGGTGTGTTGGATTAAAGGGTGCTTGTCTCACGCGTATTTCTCAGCTTTAGTGAATGCCTCTCCTAAGAAGTAATTTACTTCGTCTCAGGGTTTGGATAAGGGGATCCCATTCATTCTCATTGTTAACTTCTTGATAGGATGTTTATGATGCACCCTTTAATCTTAGTAATAATCTACTCACAGTCTCAACATATTGAAACTTATAAATACTATATCTAAGATGCAAAGCAAGAATAACAAGATAAATCTAGGCTAAACATGAAACAAAACAATTAATAAGAAAAGAGAAATTGAAATATCTCACAAAATTAAATTGAAGAACTCAAGAACAATCCATGGAAGATTGCCGTAGAAAATTTAGGGCTAAAAAAACTAAGAGAGTCAAATAATTAGTGGAAGAAAATTAGTGTCAAAAGATGCTCTTTATTGTGTCTCCTCAGAAGGTATTTATAAGCCACAAAACTTGATTCTTAAAATAGTAGAAATCATGTGAAAATGTGAAACCATGTCCGCTAAACCATCAGGCGAGCAAACCTGCCTGATCCGGTGTGAATACTTAATTACAATATGGAGAAAAACCGGAGCAAAGAGCCTTCACCCAATGGGGCCAGGCGAGCTCGCCTGATTGGGCGAGTAACGGATCATCAAAACTGCTCATATTTAAAACATCATATTCTTGTTTCTCTTTGAAATTCGGGGTGTGACTTAATGTAGGAAAGCTCTTCAAGTCTACTTTCCAACCCAATTGGAATCACTTAATTGTTACTTGTAGATAAGTTTTGAGCAAAATAGTGAACAAGAGTCAGTTTAGGCACTTCTTTCACAAGCACTTTGCTTCATTTAGAGTCAAATTCATCCTAAAGAGATGTGTTGTTATCCTCGTGCAAGCTAGTTTCATTCTCCATGATAATTATACTCAAGTGTTGCCAAACATATTCCATTTGCATCGATTTCACTTGAAAATCATTGAAATGCCAAAAACACGCAAACGAGGAGTAGTAGAGCATAACTTGAGTAAACCATACAAATATGCACCTAAATGCTCTAAAATAAGCTAGAAATGCAGGATAAATGTACCTAAACTCCTAAAGTACATATATGAATGACTCACCAGTGTGACTCATCAATGTGCTTCGGGAGTATGTGGCCTTGGTGAGGTGTGAGATTCAAAATTGGCTTTGCTGTTTGTGAGGTTTAGTTCGAAAACATTATGTAAGCAGCATTTGCTTTATCTTGCCACTTTAGTCCAGTGGAAGGCTCATTAGTTCTGCATTTGGGATAATTTTGGAACCTCCATCTCCATATCACATGTTTATATCCTTTATTGATAGTGCTCGGGTTTGTGTGCTCTTTTTACCGTGTTAATGTCATCTACGACTTGTTTCTTTTACCATACTGCCCATCTCTTGTTTAAGTCAGTAATGCCTATATCTTGTTTGCTGCAGGGGCCTTGGTGTTTGCTCTTGGAGCTATTAGCTTGGGTGCTCCAGTTGGCTCAAAGTATGTGTTACAGGGTTTCATTATGTTGTCTATAGAATTGTGCAGTGAATGATTGCAGAATTTGACCCCACACTATGTGTTGACCTTGACTTCCACAATGAAAGAAAGATACCTTATAAAATTCAAGCTAAAGTGTGTTGTGAGGTGGAAACAGGTAGTACTACAGCACCACCACCTACATCCCACCACGCAACTTTTTTTTTTGGTACATTTCCACTATTTTTATATTCTAAAAGTACCCCATGAATTTTAAAATTTTGCATTTTGGGGGTCAGTATTAGTCATGACTGTTATATGAAAACAAGAGCAAATGCAATATGAGGTGGATATGTTGGAATGTATGAGGATCAATGAATAATGTTATATCTGTTTTTTTTTTTTTTTTTTTTTTTTTTTGTGCCAGGTATACGCTGAGCACAATTAAATGGTCTCTGCTGATGTCATCACTTACGGTAAGTGAATGCTGTCTATCTCTTTCTCTTTCACACGCACTGTTGCACTCACTTGGATAGATGCACTTGTTCATTTTTGTTTTGTTCATTCTTATTTCTTGTGGTTTATGTGCTCTCACCTTTGCTTTCATTTTCTTTCCACTACAATTTTAACATATAAAGATGAATGAATTTTCCTTATGTTTGACATGTAGAAAGTTATACAAGAAAATACTCCTTACGAGTTAAGACTATAAGAGTTAGCTGGTGAAATGAAGTGATAATCAAGAAAAAAAGGAAAAAAGAAAGTTGGAACTCATTACGTATGTATCTTGAAGGATCTTTGTTATATGAGAACTCTGAGGAGTCAAGGACTACCATTGTCCATGATTGAGAGTGTGTTTACTTCACCTCATTTGACTTATCTGAACATATACAAACTGATTGTGCAGAGCTGTGAACTGTACTTGGGTAGCCCTTTTGGAACTTTTTGTGTGTGTGTGTGTGTGTGAGAGAGAGAGCTAATGAGGAACTACCAAACTACATGATTGTGCTTGAAAGGATAGTAATGACTTCCTGTAACATCTACTCGTAGTATATATTTTATTACTATTTATTTAATCTTAAGAAGTATATTTAAGAAATGTTATTTCATCCCTAAAGTACCCTAGGTAATGAACCTAGAAATGGATTTTCCAAGACAGAAAAGCAATTGTATGTGTATTAATTCAAAATCACTTATACTTTGCCTATGTTTTATAGTACTTGAAGTTGGTAATAGTACTAAATTGCTATACTCTGGCAGTTCTTACCGGCTGCTGCTATTTTCGGTGCATCATGGGTAGACTGGCAACGTATATTTGTTAAAACTAGGCAAGTGTTCAAATATTCTTCTCTTTATATTTTTCCATGGTACTATTGTTGCTCTTTCCATTTATATGCTGCCCATCTCTTGTTACTCAGATTATCTGCTCCATTATGAATTGGCTGTGTGAAATTTTGTATATTCATGTTTTGTAAGGCCTCATTAGTCATCAGGTCCTACAGTGTCATCTGGGATAGCTGCGGAGTGCGGACTTTATATTATCCAAAAAGAAACAAGGAAAGAGACATCTCTTATCCTCATTTTGTCAGCTTTTGACTCAGTGCTGTAGTTTGGGAGTTGGGGGGGGGGGGTGGGCATAGTCGTGTAGCAGTACAAGGGAAAGGCTAGTAGATCCTATCATCTGGAAAGAACTGTAAAAAATTTGGCTTTTACGTTGGAAAGGGCAATGCACCACCCCACCCCACTGCTTTTCTTATGCATGACTAAAGAAGAAGGGTTCTTTCAATTAACACCACATTGGAAATTGACCAATTCGATTAGAATGTTTTTTCTTTACAGAAGCAGAGAGCAAGAAGGGAATTTTTGTTAAAAAGAAGTTTGTTACAAGAGTGAGAGAACAAAACTAGAGTAAATGATAGATAGGGAAGAAGAAAGAGAAGGAATAACCAGAAATATGTATTTACTCTATGAGAAAGCCAGCCTATAGAATGCTTAGAGCCTGTATTTCCTGTTAGTCAATCTAGTATAATTATCTCTCTCTACAATGCTTGTCCTTCTTTCACTCTGATGATCTGATCACTTTTTCTCTTCTAATCTCTCTCTCTTGGCAAGTTAAACCTGTCTGATACCAACTTGCTAAGAACCATGCCCTTGTCACCTTCGAATATAATCTTTTGGTCTTCTTTCACCCAAGCTAATACTAATGTTTTCTGCAAGGTCTTGATTATTATAATACAAATTCTGTCACAGCTCCTTAATTTTGCAACTAATTAGTTGCTACTTTTTGCAATCTTCCAAGTATTGCACATAACTTTTCTTATTATTTTTCAATTCCAGGCCAACAGGATTTGTTGAGTATATGGTTTGCCTTCCAGCACATGGTGTTATCATTGGCTCCTGGTTTGGGGCCTGGCCAATGCCACTTGATTGGGAAAGGCCATGGCAGGTAATTATGTACAAAATCTACTTTCTAAATTGTACTACTAGTATATTGACTTGGCATGTTTGCCAACACATAACTTTGACCAATAATAGCTTTAAATTTTTTTCAGTAAAAAAATAAAAATAGTTTAAATTTTAATAATACATATTGAGATGTATCTAATAAGATCCCACGTGGCTATGGTTTTTCTTATTTACACATAACCAAATATGGTAAAGTGGAGGATGTGAATAGTGCTATAAGTCGATATGGTACATCAGGAGGGGAAAAAAAAAAGGACAAGGGGAGTATTTCTGTGATACTTTTCTATATTTTCCATGTTTTTGATTGAAGGTTATCAAATTGACACAAGCATGTTTCTCCAACTACAAATTATTCCTTAGTCACAGTTTGCTAAACTAGGCCCGTTTTGTTGGTTACGATGGCGTTAGTACTCAGTAACCAGCCTACACGCTCACATATAGTATAAAGCCATGATGATAACAATGCACCATATAGTTTAGCAACAACATATTTTTATTATACAAGAATAACACATATATTCACTGTACGACGGTCCTCAGGAAGTTTATTCCATTGAGGTTGTGGCCCTGTGGATTTATTATATTAAGAACCTGAATAATGTTAGATTTGTGCTTGACTATTCTCTCATTATTAATAGGTCTATTATATCAATCATTATAGTCTATTGCTTTTGTTGATTTAGGCTTTAGATATATGAGGCAGCTTAATATTAAAAAGACAGCTTATGGTTATGGGATTAGAAAGCATCTGGTGATGTTAGAGCTAACATGATCACTGCTTAATGATACTCTGTATGCTTTCGGCATTGATGTTTTGGAGGAAAATGCTTTGGAAAAGAGGCATGTTGACTCAAGAGTTAGAGAGAAAAGAGTGCTCTCTGGTACTTGAAAAAACTTAATCTTGAAGAAGAGGAGCATGTTTTAGAAATCTTATGTAATGGAAATTCCCATAAAAGGTAAAACCTTTGATTGGAGCAGATATAGGAAATCTACTACTCTCATGAGAGTATGAGACTATGAGAGTCCAAGTTGATCTGTCTTCTGGATTATTGTGATATCTGTGAATGTTGAAAGTTTGCTTGCCCCGTCTCATTTTGTTGTGATATTATATATGGTTAATATAACTAGCTCCGTCTCATTTTGCTTGCTGCATTTCCTTCTTCGGCGATCCCCATTTACTTGCCATATATACTTTAAAAAAAATGTCAATCTACTTTGGTTTGCCATCCACTACGTTTTGCTATATTTGGGTTTGCCATCCACTACGTTTTGCTATATTTGGGTTTGCCATCCACTACTTTTGTAGACAAGAGCAGAAAGCTCTACTGCAAAGAACTTCTCTGCTATATTTGGTTTTTGTGGTTTAAAGTAATTATGTTGAGTGAAACTTACTGATACTTGGTATTAATTTTATAGAATGCCTGGCACTTTTTTGATCTTTCTTTAATTTGGGTTTTTTTGGACCAATTCAGTTACTACTTGTCTTGTTAGTTGTTAATCATCTTTATTGTACTTGTAAAGTATTTTAAAGCACATTATTTAATGGGACATGATTTCCTCTTTTTACGGGAGAGAAAAACTATGATTGCAGAAGTGATTCCATCTGTATGTGGTTGGGAACTTTGAATTTTGCTGCTATTTTAGTATTTCATGGATGCTGGAGAGGGTCATTAGACACTATGATCTTCTATTTATTTGTTTCATATTCAATCGAATTGCAGGAATGGCCCATCTGTGTGGCGTATGGAGCGCTCCTTGGCTATCTGATTGGCGTGGTGGCATCTTTTGTGTTATATTTTCATAGTCGTCGGAGACAGTGTGTCAAAGTAGACTAGGTTATGTACTTCTCTTCTATTTCATGTTTTTCTAACCTTACCAATTTTTCTTTCTTTTTTTAGTTATCAAAAGAACAACCAAAAGTAGACGACACTTACCAGGTTCATGTAATTGACCTGGTGAGGCTTAGATAAGGTATGGTTAGGTTTAGCAATTTTAATATAGTTTGGAAATATGTTTTGAATCTAATACTAATTGAAATAGTTATCACTTTATAATTTATATGCTCTTAAATCTGAGTTTTATGTTTCTCTTGCCAAGGATGGAGCTTCCTTGGTGCCTTTGTTTGTGTCATTTAGGATTGAGATGAGCAACTTACGGTCAGTCTTGAATTCGTTACCCACCTGCCTGCAGGTGTAATGTATTACTTGCAACTTTTGCGCGCATAATTGTACTCCGTTAAAAATTAGTTACATTTTAAACTTATACTCGAGTTTGATTTGTCCGTCATCCTGTTGTAATCACTTTCTCAAATAACATGCCAAAAAGACGTGTTGCAAGTATACAAAAGCAGACAAATGTTCAACTCTAGTATAGCTCGTAGTTTTGATAATTTCATCAACGTTTAATTTATACCATAGTGGCATATATAATATTCAAGTTTAAATATATTGAATCTTTAATAAAATAATAATAATAAATAAAAAATGTATGTAGGATTGTATTGTGTTTGTAGGGTGTTAAAATGTGTATATTGTAGAAACAAGTTGATATAGACATATAATCACGGGTTAATAAATAGTTGATGAGTCGTCTAATCTAAGTAACACCTTGTTTCTTACATTACCATCTTGTTTTCGTAGTTGTCATTCATTAGTACCTTTCCATGGTACTTTCCCTTTTTTCTCTTCTATTTCTTAATCTTTTTTGGCTTTATTCTTCACGTTATTATTATTGCTGATTTTCTTCCCATTTTTTTCATCCCACTTGTATTGTAGTTATAATTAGGGATACTATGATATGAATGTAATCTTCGAGATTTAGCGTATACTCTTATTTAACTAACAAAAGTTCCCATATTTCTTTTATTTTTCTCCCGTCAGATAGTAACTTATTGTACACCCGGTTTTTAAAAACATTTGTCTTAAATATTGGTGGTACTTACGGTCCTATAGTATACTGAATTTTTCTTGATATTTTTCACGTGCATGTATACAATAAACTTATATACTACCTCCGTTAACTATTATTTGCAACAAAGGGGTATTATTTATAAGGTATAAAATATTTCTTTATTGCAAATAATAATTAACGGAGGTAGTACTTGCTCATACTTTGGCCCTGTTCTCTTCACCCTAATTTTGCTGAACTGAAATTATTTTTACTGAACTGAAATTATTTTTGCTGAACTTAAATTATTTTTACTAAACTTAAATTAATTTTACTGAACTGAAATTATTTTTGCTGAGCTGAAATTATTTTTACTGGTATTCTATTATAATTCTTCTTTAAGAAAACTGAATTTTACTGAACTCAAAAGATATTGAATAATATGAAGTTTCTCAGAAAGGTTATAAGATTTTTTTGACTGGATTTTTCCTTAAAAATTTTTTTTATTGAATTCGAGTATAAAGAGGATTTCAAATTCAAAACTAACCATTTTATCAACAAAACAAATGGAAAAGAATAAATATGAAAAGAAACTTACTTGAAGCCAACAATAGAAACAAGTAAATTGACTTGGTAGCTAGAATTGTGGGCATAGCAAGTAAATTCACACAGTATAAGCCATAACAATGTGACCCACCTAAGTTTCAAAACATAACTAAAATAATACTATAAAATAAAATAAATTTTATTTTAAAAAAAAAAAACATCATAAGACAAACATAAAAAGAATATAGGATCAGTTTTGTAGAATCTTTACTTCATAAGAGCCTCATCATTGAGCATTGATTTCTTCAAGTTTTCACTTTACTGTGATTATTTTTGTGCCACGTACTAAACTTGGTTAGATTATTAGATTTTTACAGTATACTGAGTACTTTTTACTGACTATTTGGGTTTTAAAAAACCTGACACATAAACCTTTTAAAATGAGATTGTCATTTGTCACTAATTTAGAGGATGAAACTATTGGTTTCTATTTATATTATATACACTTCTAGTTGTATCTAATTGTTTAAAGTTTAAACTATGATCAGCTTGTTCTTTGAAAAAATATTAAAAAATACTTAAATTATGAGCTTGTTAATTAGTAATTATTGTTGATTAGATAATTAGTGTTGAGAGTAACATTCTACCGAGTAATTAAGTAATTATTGATCAATCTCTTTACACCTAGAGACAATAAATTGTGAAATCCTTAACTAAGTAATTTGTCATCATATGTCTTACTCTGTACTAAATTGTTATTGTAATTGTCATATATATTACCTTGTTTCTCAGTTCGGCATTTTCTTGTTGTTTAACATCATTCTTGTTTAACAAAACACAAGTGTGAATATTAGTATATGCTACCTCTGTTAATTATTAGGTACAATAAAGACGTATTATATATGAGATTTAAAATAAGAGTATTCTTTTGTTGCACATAATAATTAACGGAGATAACTAGTATTATTTTTTGAATTTTGATATGAATTTTTTCCTTGATGAAAATTGGTAAATCCCTTGAACGAAGCCAAACACATGCATACAAGTAAAACTAGTTATTGAGCACATAATTTTAATTACCATATATATTGAAATATAACAAAAACATGCCTCAAATTTACAACCTTACACCAATTATAGAGACCCAAAAATTAAAACAAGGCATATATTGGGAAGAAAAGGGGGAAAAAAAAACCATCTTATACAGTTATAGGGAGAAAATTTTAAAAAAGATAAAAAAAAGGCCAAGAAAATATTAACAAAGTCTTGTTGGTCTATTGTATGTTGGGGAGCTAAATGATTTGTTATGCTTCGCCATTTTGGACATTTGACTCTTCATTTCCTTACACAAATTCTCCAATTCTAACACTCTCCATTGCATTCTTTGCATGTTCAACTTCATGTCTTCACTTCCTTGTGATATACATTCATCATCATCTTCTTCATCTTCAACATCTTCGTCGTGATATTGATGTGTTGTTACTCCTTCCGATCCATATACAACAATTTGTTTGTTGTTACTCTTGTTTGTACTAGGGCTCTCACAATAGTATTCCAATTGATTTGCTTTTGTAGGGGGCTCATAATTTGCATGTTTTTGAGAAGCAAGTGCTTGAACTGCAACCCTAGGAGGAATCCTCGGGTTCTTTGCTAGGTCCTTGCATGCTTCTAAGGATAGTTTTTCGTAGTTAAGACATCGACATAACCTTGATCGTTCTTCAAATGAGAGGGTCGGATGAGACTGCAATTATTAAATAAAAATGAAAAATAAAAATTATTGACTTACTTATCATATGGTACATACGGTATTATTCATTTCATTATCAAACTCACATTTAATTAAAACTATGGGACAAATAAAGTAAAAAAGTAACGAGCACTATGTTAATGCTAAATTTTAATAACGAACTCACTCGTATGTTTTATATGAAATTATTGGACATATGATGTAATAAACACAATACATCCATGTAGTAGCTCTTTAACAACTAATAATAGATGTATCTAAATCTTGTTCAAATTTTGTATTTTTGCTATAATATCCTTGCTACTTTTTTAGTAGCCACTCAAAGCACATTTATTAGCCACAAATTATTTTCGTGATTGTTCTTTTAGGAGTTGAGTGAGTGGGTGTGTGGGGTCCACATGAGGGTAATGCCTAGATTAGATTGGGTATAGTTACTAAATCAGTCAACTTTGGCCCACATATTGATTTAATTCTTGTCCCAAGAGTAAAGGCAAGAATCTTCATTGATTGAATAAGCAAAAATGTTATGTGATCATGTTCATTGATTGAGTTCATAAGGCATATGCAATTAGGTACGAGGCATGCCAAGAAAACTTAAACATAAACGAGTGGCAGAGTCAGAAATTTTCTTACTTGTATTAAAGACGGTATTTATTGGTTTTATTTGCTAATTTAGTTAACATCTATTTTAACTAAAAAAAAAAAAAATTTACCGTAAATCACAATATTGTTTGTCACGCACCCCTTTGTAATAAATAATTAATTCAAATGATTTCCTTAAAAAATAAATAAAAAATAAATAAATAAATAATTCAAATGTTATTGATGATTATACATTAAGAATGTGAAATATAAAAAGGGTTAAAAGTAGAAGTAAATGGTCAATTATAATTTTAGATGTTGACAATTAAGAAAAACATCTCAATCGATCAACTATGAGCCATGTAATAAAGAAAGAGCATGGACCATTTCCTCCATGATTTTTTAAAGTAATCTTAACTAAAATTATGATCTTTGGAGTATGAGACATCACTATACAATCTATCTATTAAGATATTCAACTACTCTCACTCTTTCACTTTTTTTTTCAAGTGTGTGACATGCTCCGCTAGTAATTAAGCATAATTATTTTCAATCTATTCGTGCATTATTTTCAAGTGAATGTGACATAATATTTAAGAACGGACAGGAAATTTACAGAATTTAAAACCATTGCATCATTTACAGTAGTAAAAACTCGACGACTAAAGCAATTAAGACACTAAAGTGCAAATATTTACTCGTGATTGGTCTAAATTGCATACAAGTATAAAATGGTGACGTTAAATTGAACCATATTATAATTTAATTCAATACACATCTCATTTTAATTTTAATTATGACTTATTTATTTATTAAAAATGTAAATTTTACTGTATTCTGAAAAATGATGGGACACGTGTCACACAGAACTCTTACTAGATCGGCTTATGGACATAGTAGCATTGTATGTAGTACTAAGTACAAAGTAAAACATTATAAGAAGTAGCCACCAAGGATGAGTATGTAGGGAAGGGCAGTGGGGGAAAGAGAAATAAGCCATGTAACAAGAGGAAAATGTCATGTTCATAGCTAATAGGCAGGGAATCCTTTGTCTTATTTTCTCACCCTTGTCTCCTTTGTATTAAGTCTTTTTGTAGTCCTTAAAGTTTTAGTCCAAAACTACATCTATCACCCCAACTCATCAATGGATAACAACCAAACTTTAACACCATCAATAATAAGATGCCCCCAAAATGGAAAGAATCAATTTCAAACCCCATCATTTTTACAAGACAATATTCACCATACGAGACACAATCATAGTCCGTAACAAAATACAAAAATATTATCTTCATGATAAACAAAAGTGTTAATCTAGTGGTAATTCTGTAAATAAATTTTTATTATTTTGTTGATTTATTTACAAAAATGCCACTAAATAAACAATTTTTATTTATCATGAAGATAAATTGAGCCTCTCTCGTTAATTATGCGGCTTATTTTTGCAAAACTTACTATTTCTACTTTAACTCATGTTTTTAAGTTATCTTTATTTTAGTTTAGTTACACCCGCTTATTTTAATAAGTTGAGGAGAACAAAGCAGAAGTAAAGAAGGTGGCTTGCAGACGAAAAGTAAACACAAATAGTAAAAAGAACATGTATTTGTTACCTCAAGGTAGATATCAATTGCTCTGTAGACTCCATCAAAGCAATCCCTAGCAGAATCTGGTAAACTTTGAGCAACACCTATGAATTTGGAGATTTTCAGGTTCTGATCAGGTGAAATTTCTGCCAAATACTGATCAACCAACCACCCCACTTTCTTTAATCTTGCTATTGAAACACCTTCACAATGTACAAACACTCTAATCAATCTTATTACAAGATTAACATCATAAACACCTCCAACATGATGATTCCCTTCAATACTATGTCCTGATACTAACAGATCATCGAGTTTCGCTAAATCGAGCATACTGCCTATTAGTCTCTCCAATCCACTTCTGCAGACTCTGCTGAGTCCAAATCCTGTTACTAGCCTCATTACCCAAAACAATGCTCTGCAAGAAAATGCAGTTCTTCCCATCAGAATCACTCCATAAATCGCGGTATCTGCAAGCCCACTGTAATCAGCTTTCGAGTATACAGAGCAGTTCTTCTTGCTCTGAAGCGCGGTTTTAAGGTAATGAAGCGCGAATTTGGTGAGCAACAGGCTGTTATTGTCACTCCCAAAAGCACCCAAATTCCGAATTACCCTCTCTATTACCATTGGAGATAGTGTAGCCAAATCATCAAACCACCAAGCCTTTGTGTTACTACTAGTAGTATTGCTAATGGTGTTATTGGTGCTTGAAGATGACAGTGGTTTGCTCAAATCTGGTGTATTAGTCTTATATGATGAATTCGAAAGGCGAAGTCTACGAGACATTGTGTTATCAGGAGAAGATGAGGAGGAAGAATTCGATGAAAAGATAAGGGATATATCAGAGTTTTGAGCAATTTTCGCAAGCAAAGTGGTAATGAGTTTATCAATGAGATTACTTGAATCGGCTATTGTGAAAAAGGGTTCACAAGTTCTTAAACATTCAAGAACATCACCCCAAGACCAATGAAACATTTCATCAAGAAAAGTTTCTGATTGTTGAAAAAGATTGTAACTTGAGTACTTATCAGTCATGTTCAGAAAAATCGAAGCGCAATAGAGCTGACAGACATTATGAACTGTGATTGGAATTCTACCATTGTTGTAACAGAATCTTGAAATTAGCTCAAACCCATCTGAACCTCCAGGAAAATCTTCAAGGGTAAAGCTTAATTTCTTGATTTGAGTTCTTTTCTTTTCTTGTTTGATCAATTTCCTGAGTTTTCCTGAAAAAGCTGAGACAATTTTCTGCAGGAAAATTGAACACAGAAATTAATTTTCCTGTTGAACTACTTATCAATTAATAAGATATGATTTCTTTTTATAGAATAACAATTATGTTAAAGCATTAATCCCGAAAAGATGAGGTCGGCTACATGAACCAAGATTTTATCAGGAGTGGCCGTCTTGTGGGTAGTTGATAGAATTGATGATAAGAAATAAATGTGTTACATAAAATAGACATAGATAGATAGATAAATACCTGATTGAGAAAGAATGTTTGTTGGCCATTGATATGGATTTGAAGATCACATTGGTCTGCCATAATTTGATGGTTATTTACATTGAATGAAGCTTGAAATAGAAAAATGAGAGACAGAAGAAAAGGGGTGATATTCTGTTATCTGAGAGTTGGCAGGAGGTGAAGTAGACAGTGTGGTTTGGGATATAGAAATTAGGATAGCATGTGTGTAGTGTGTTGGCAGATAAACAGGAAAATATTGCTGTCTTTATTAATACCTTTGCCACAATATTATATATATATTTTTTTTTATGGTGTCGATTTTATATATATATTCAGTCCGTTTTATGAATTATGAGTTTATGACAATGTAACATATATGCTTGTAATTTGTAAGTGTATAACTTTGATCGTTAATATATGAAATGTAGAGATATTTTACAATGAGAAATGAGAAAAGCCAATAAAAGATAAAAACGTGACTCACGTCATCAACATGATGTGTACGTACAAAAGATTGACCCTTATACAACGGCGTTGTAAAAAGATGAGACGGTTGTTATTTACATTCTGATTAAAATAAAAGGTTAATTATAAGGAACTGTCCTAAAAAAAACAATTTATTATGAGGTTTTAGACTAAAGAAATTTTTAAAACAAGGAACCTGTGGTTCATAATAATTGACACATATATTAACCTATACATTTAAATAATTAAATATTTATAGAAAGTATAAAAAATATTGTTGATATAATGAAACTTTAAAGTTTAAAGTATTATATTCTTAACAACATTTTACATACTAATAGTACATTTGTTTCCAATCTATCAGTACAATAATATAGTTAAAAGTAACCTATGACTAGTTAAAAAAGCGAACGTGTGTCAATTACTATAGAATAGAGAATTATTTACTAGATAGTTATTCAGAAAATTTATAATCATTGGTAGAGTTTGTAAGTAAATAATACCTTGCTCACTAGTAGAAAAATGCAAATGAGCATCGGTTCAAAACTAGCTTTTCGCATCAGTTTTGAATCGATGCTCAATTGAGGGTACGAAAAACTTATATTAGAGCACTCTTTCTAAATTGCATCATTCGAAGCTTCATACTTGTCGATCACAACTAATATAACTAATTTTTAGTTTAAGTTATACTCCGTAAAAGATTTTCACAAGGCCACGACTATATGTCTCCTTTACCACCTTACATATTTTCATAAATTAATTATTGAAGTACTCTGCATTTTTTTTAATGACGGATATAAATCATTTAAGTTAGTCAAAGAAATATGTGTGAATTATATAAAAGAATAATACGACCAAAATAAAGTGTAACTTAACCAATAGATCTTGACAAATTATCCTTAAAATTGTAACATAATCAGCCTTTCTTCCAACTTGTTTCCTAGTTGGTGAGAATTAAAAAATTGAGGTTAGATGGTTTGATTATTCGATTTGTCTAGTATCCACCGAGTAAATTGACTTCAAGTTGGTACTATAACTATACTGCAGTATTATTTTTTTATATTACTCTCTTAGAACACCAAAAAAATAAAATAAAAATAATAAATCCCTTAAACTCTTATACTACTACCTCCGTTACATATTATTTGCAACGATTTGACATAAATTAGAGAGGAAAAATGTCTAATCGTTGCAAATAATATGTAACGGAGGTAGTATTTTGTTTACTTACTTCCTTCTTCTATTTAGATACCAGATGTTTTTGAGAATTACTTCGTATTTCTCTAATACTGTCAGATTTGACGTCTATATGAAATCAGCATCTTTATTTTATTTTTTTTATATATATATATTTTTAGGGAAATTAGCATCATTACATTATATTTTTATCAAGTTGTCACAATTTTATTAGAAAAAAATATATAAGTGCTAGGTAGTGGTTTTGCCAATATAAATCCAAGTACCCCAAAAGATGGTTTTTGTAATAGTAATAATAATAGAAATAAATTTCATAAGTTTTTTAAAACCTGTGAACGACATATGTGCCAACATAGTGTAGTGATGTCTTCAGTGAACATATAATTTGAAATGTTTTTAAAATTTATATCTTAATTTATGAATTGAGTATAGTTTATATGGCTCTTAATTGTGGATAGTATGTTCATGTAGATTTAATTATTTTTTTGACGGGACATATGGATTTAATTAAGAACGAACATCTAGTCCGTTTATTACTTAACTAGTGAACATTATGCATTCATGAGTTCACAGTTTTCAAACAATATGTTTATTCAGGATTATGATGTGTATCATGGTTATTAATGGAAACTATTAAGACTTATCATTCTTGAAATTAGTGAATATAAAGTGACAAAATAATGTCTTAATGATATGACTCAAACAAGTGTGTAACTAGATTAATAGAAGAACTATAAACTGATATTGTACGTGTCATGCAAAACACCTGGCATTGAGTGTTCGGACTAAATTAAATATTCCCATGATACGTGAGCTTGAAATGAGATATAAATCAAGTAATCTTTATCCTCAATTATCTCAACCTCATAAGGTGAGGAGTAACTCCTCATTTCTAATGTGAAAGTGCGAAACAACTCATTGGACACAATTAGATAGAGGTTCAAATCAACACAATTTTTCTGTTTAGATAAAAGTTAATACATGCATATATTCCATGACAATATTTTGACAAAATATAAATTATAAACTATAAATCATGCATGTCAAATTGACAATTAATTAATTGTAAGAAATTGATATGTTTATTTCACGTGAGCCTATGTTTGCAAGCTAAGAGAAGGATTAAATAAAGAGAAGAGAAGAAGATGCATTTTATCTAGCTCATAATATAGTCAGAAATGACATTTATTAAATTTTTGGCAAAAACAAATCTTTTGAAAGATAAATAAAATAAATAAAAATGATAGGAATAAAATTAAATAAAATTGTCTTTTGTGAGTGACAAAGTTCTGCCAAGTCAAGAAAATGAATAGTGGGTATCCTTTGTCCCATGTGTTAGCACCTTTGGTTCCCTTGTTGGTTTTCTTGTTAATTTGGATTTTATGGGGTACACTACATTTTAATTACATGTGAACCAAGGGACCCAGACAATTACCTCAACTCCATCACATTATACCATCTATCCATGGAGAAAATGAAACCTAAGCCATAATTACTCAAATCAATTGTTTTTTTATTACCATAGTTGATTGATTGATAGCGGTTTTAAGCTAAACAAAATCAATCAATCAATATAATCAATTAAAGTTTTAATCCCATAAGTGGAGTCGGCTATATGAACCCAATTTGATTATTTCATGAAGTAATTGACAAAAATCTTCCTCTTCTATCCCTTATGATCCAATGTCTCATCCTCATGTAAATTCATATACTCCATATTATTATGATCTGAACTCCTTCCCACAAAGTCATAGATAGTACTTGGAAAATTTGTTTTTTTGTAATAACCAACTTAAAGGAGTAATTAGTTTTTTTTAATTAATATTATTGAGGGAAATCGCTTCTAAAAATAATTATCAATATGATTCACTTAAATACTGTATTATTTTTTATTTTATTTTTTTTAGGGGAAAATACTGTATTACTTAATTACTGAAAATTTGTCAAAAATCACTATCTAAAAAGGAGTGTCTTTAATTTTAGATGTTGAAAAATTCTTGCTCATTCTTTCTAGTACCCCAAAATCAAGACTTTTTTTTGGTTCTAGAGATTAATATATATATAAGCTCTTACTTTTTTTTTTCTTGAAAGAATATAAGCTCTTACTTAACAATCAACCTCTTATTACTTCAAAGTGAAGCATCCAACTTGTTTGGTAGCAGATGCCCTCAGTTAGGGGGCTTATTCACTGTACACAAATGAAATTTAGAGCTCACAAGATCCATAAATTGAATAAACACTAGCCTGACACAAGTAACAATAATAGGAATATAATGTTGATTATATGACTTATTCAAAAAACAAGCAGGGTTTAGCTCACTTGGTAAGAGACTTGAATTATCTTAGATACTATGACTCTAATAAGATTTGAATCTTACCAAGTGAAATATGACCTGACCTTTCCTTATTGTTGAACAAATAAAATTATTTTTTTAATTGGGTGAATGCGAACTACTTGGCTAGTTAAAATTAAAAATAATATCTATAAATTAAATTGAATCACGATTACATCATTATCCTTGCTGTTTTCTTTACGCCGAGGATAACCACACAATAAGAAATGGAGCAAAAAGGATTATAGTTGAATGATTGTATATTCCTAGGGTGGAGACAAGACTTTAATTAGTAAAAGAATAATTGTAATGTGCAAAAATTGATGAAATAATGATGAGAATATCCATATTTACAAAAATGAGTAAATCAGATGTAGCAGGCAATGATAAGATTCAGAAGCTCTGGGATTTCTCCCTACCACTTCAATCATTTTGTCACGGAAAGATAGGCTACTTTTATCTTATTTCCTCCGCCCTTAATTAACACCAATATACTCTCTAACTTTTTAAGTTGATCGATACATAAATTAGCTATTAATAATCTATATTTTTGAGGAAAAAATTGAGACCACTGGTTCCAATTATGCCTGGTTTAATCTAAAAGGTCTCAATTATTGAGTAACCTAATTAAGGAGATCCTAACTATAGGTGGTCAATCTCGTAAAGATGCCAATAGTTAGTTTAATAAATGAGCCGAGGTGGAACAAATTTTGAGTCTCATTTAATATTTAAACTAGAACACGAATATAGATATATTCGTTCAAATATGTTCATGAACAAGTCGTTTATATATGTTCATGAGCTACTCAATCTTTTATTTATATTTGTTATCTACTCGTTTATTATTTATGTTTACAAAACATTCGTTTAATTGTAATAAAATGTGATATCTCGAAGATGCAAAGTACTTTTATGGGAAATATAGCTTTGATATAAAGTGTGATCATTTTATAACTATTTAATTATTTATAAACATTCAACTTAATCACAATTATCAATTTATATCTAAATTTTATAATTAAGATTTAACCAAAGCTAATTTTGAGAATTTTTCAAATATCAAAAGTGCAAAGCTCATTTATTAGAGAATAATACTCTTAATGTTATTTAAAAAAAAAAAAGAATTAGAAGAAGAAGAAGAAGAAGAAGAAGAAGAAGAAGAAGAGAGAATAAAGCTTATTATAATTAAGCTAGTTTATGAAATACACTCATTTATTAGCTCATTTACTATTTGCAAACACTATAGTTTACTACTCCCTCCGTCCCAAAAAGAACGACCCATTTGGGTTGATTACGCGGGTATTAAGGAAGTTAAGTAAAAAGAAGTAAAAGTATATTGGAAAGATAAATTTACATGGGGTTTGTAAAAAAATAGAGAGAGAAAGTAATAAAATAACATGGAAAATGAAATTTTTATATGGGAAAGCTAATTTTGCACAAATATTGTTGCAAATTGGTGGTGTTTTAATGCAAATGGGTCATTCTTTTTGGGACAAAGTTTTGGCCAAATGGGTCGTTCTTTTTGGGACGGAGGGAGTATATGAACTAAATAGATTTTTAAGCTCACATAAAAGCTCGGGACTGTGCTCAGACTTGCTTAAGTTAAATGAACTTAAGGATGAACAAAATACTCGGCTCGGCTCATTTACACCCCCTAAATATATTTTTCAATAATGAGCAAACTCTCAACCCTCCCTTTTCAATAAGTATGCCACATCATAACACAGATAAAAAAGGTAACCAATTTATTAGCCACCACTTATCAACTTATCGTACACAAATCAAGCAAGAAAAAAGAGGGGCAAAAAAAAGCCCAATATAGAATAATGAATGAAAATTTAAATTAGTAGTCCAAAGGAAAAAAACTATAAGATCTAATCATTTTTTTTTTTTTGTGCAAGTGAGGGGCAAGCCCCAACGAAGACAACTAAACAAAAACAAAAACAAAAGGGAAAAACACAAACAAGACAGAAAAAGAAGAAAAAGAAAACAAAACGAAACCCAAAACTACTGGAACACAACTCAGCTAAGCCTCATCCCTTGGAACAAGCCTCGCACGAGCAACTCCACACAAGTCCTCCAATAAAACGGCCCGAAGATCCGAAGAGATCGCCTCAAAGATCACTAGCTTTTGATCAGAGTTGACACCATAGTTCGCCAACCAATCAGCTGCTCGATTGGCTTCCCTATAGCAATGACTCATCGTCACTTCCCAACCTTGACAAAAAACGGGAGATTTACACTTACGAATAAGATGAATATATGGAGAGTGTGGAGGGCAATCCTCCACCAAAAACCGAACCACTACCTCCGAATCAACCGCCAATTGTACCCTTCGATGCCCCGCATTCCATGCCACCACAAGTCCTCGAAGTACCCCTAACAACTCAGCCTTAGTATTCGAGCACACACCACAATGAGAAGCATAAACCTAGAGTATTTCCCCATCAAAACCACGAATCAACCCACCAGCTCCAGCTCTGCCGGGGTTACCTTTCGAGGCCCCATCCGTATTAAGTTTGACCCACCCAACTCTAGGAACTTCCCAACGAATAAACACCTCTTTGCGCTTAGCAATTCCAGCAGAACTCCTTCCCAAAGGTCTATCCAAGGCACGCTTCACATCACCCACCCTAGCCATGAGAAAAGCAATCTGATCAATGGGAATGTTAGCCTCTCTCGCAAACACTCTTTCATTCCTCCATCGCCAAAGCCACCATATGGTTAAAGCAAATACAATAGCACGCTGCTCACCCAACTCAGAAGAGGTAGTCCCTATGTTAAATAAAATCCAATCATTACAGGACATATCTGCATCCAAGCTAGAGACACCTACTCCAAGCTTCATCCAAATTGCAGTAGCTACAGGGCATTCTCTCAAAATGTGATTCGTGTCTTCCACTGCCATTCCACACACCTTGCACCTTGGATCACTAGTTAGCTTGCGCAAGAATCTATTCATATTAGACAAAATTCTATCGTGCATCACAAGCCAAATAAACATATGAATCCTTTGAGGCACTGGCGTTTTCCACACACATTTCCAAGCTTGCCTCAACTCAGTGCTGATGGGAGAATTATTCCGAATTATATCAATAGCAGAACTAATTGTAAACCCTCCAGAAGCAGCCCCATTCCAGAAAACTTCATCTACAGCACTCTCATCCTCAACAACCTCGAAAGAGGCCAATTCTTCCAGCACACTGTTAGGCAGAAATTCAGCAAATAATTCAAGTCTCCAACCTGTATTCGAATCCCAGAATTCGTTTACTGTGGCTCCTTGAAGATCAGCAGGTGGAATAGGGTCAGCTAACTCAATCAGAGGCTCTTTCGAAGCCCACCTATCCCTCCAAAAAAGATCTAATCAATATTCATGCAAGGATTATAAGATTACGGGGTTTTGGGTATTAACAAACCTACCAACTTGTTACTTAAAAAAAAAAAAAAAAAAACAAACGAGCGGCGCTAAGTAAACTTAAGTTCAAAACTAAACTAGAACTGCAATTCTAGAGTTTAATAATACAGGGAATTTAGGTTTCGGTCCAGTTCAATTCCATCTCGATCATTCCATTGATTATGTTTATACACCATGCGCGGTCGCGCGGAGATTTGCATTTGGCAAAGGTTTTACGGCTCACTTTTGACACGAACCTACCAAATTTTATACACAAAGAAAATGGGGTGCATACAATACAGGAAAATAAACCACTAATTCAATCCATACATTCAATAGGACTTTTTCCCGTCTTCAATTCCTCCCCACCCTCAAACAAAAAATGACATCACATCATGATGCAAAAACAGATAATGACCACGTCAAAAACAATGTGATTTGTCAACTTGGGTTTCCACATAGCAAACATCCATAAGAAATCCAATAAGCAAGTAAAGTTTCTACCTATAGCGAGCTATGGCATATGCAAACCAGTGCAAGCTTTGGTTTCATGTTAAACCAACCAGAATCATAAAGTGTGATCAATCAGCTAATAATGTTATCGGTATCTATAACGATCCCTGTCTCTGCTGTAATCTCGGTCCCTATCATAATCATAGTCTCTGTCCCGATATTCCCTTCCTCTATCCCTCTCTTTGCTTCTGCTTTGGTGCCGATCCCTACTATCACGCTCTCTGCTCCTACTGTCTCTGTCATCATGATCTCTCCCCCTATCTCTGCTCCTCTCACGGTCTCTGTCAGCCACACCTGAAATCAAATTAGATTTTCAACTCCATCAATTTACATTTAAGCAAACAATATTGAAATCAATGAGAGGAAATTCTGCACAAGTTTAAAGGAAAAATTGTATATAAGCTCGTGTCAAAGTACCGTACGGCCAGCAACTATCATTGATCTTGCAGAGCACCACATATGATGCAACAATCACAAATGTACCCAATGATGTAAAATCATAGGAAACTGATAATTGCCAGGGCAGGGTTAAGTTTATCAATATGTTACATGTAGAAAATCATGCATATAGTGAAAGATTCCCACAAAAACTAACAATCTGAGTATGAGAGGTAGTTACTTATAGTGATCATTGAAAAGTTTCAGAAAAACTACATAGCATAAAAGTTTCTCTCCTTATTAAAAATCCTACTGCATTGGATATGGGCCATACTAACCTATGCTGCTAATTGCAGTCTCTTGAAGGACTAAAGAAAAATCACCATAGTATGAGGGTATTGCTTTTAACTTCACACAACCATTAGCTTTCAAGAAATAAATGTTCAATACATGTCAGAGGAAGGATGCTTTTCAGTTAACACACACGTTATTCTTCGATAATTATATCAAGATGTGCAACAATGTGATATAATTTTCAATTTTCAATTTTTTATTTTATTTTATTTTTTTTGAGAAAAAACGTTTTAAAAAAGCAAACTAACAGTAAACCCTGTTTTAGGAGTAAATCCACATTCTTACCAGTCAAACCCATCAATAGAATGAAAGATAGAGACAGCATGCAAGCACACAACAGAGCACATCACTTAATTTAGTTACAAATAAGTTTCTTCTTTGCAACAGTTGGATTGTCATTACAGCTATCAGTCAATCAGTTCTTTGCAACAATTGGACCATCACTAAGGCAGTCTTAGTAATAGTGGGCTCTCCTGTCAAACTAACATCACTCGCACCCATAGAATGGTGGCACTTTTTGAACATTTTTAGATTTGAATCATTTTTAAGATTCTAATCAAATATTTTTTTTGTTTTCCAAACACATTTTCCAGCTGTATTTGTGAAGAAATAAATATTTGTAGTGGCTATAATGGGTGTAAGGTGTAACAAGTGAATCTCAATAGTTTCAATACATGTTATGCCTTTAATAACAGGTGATAATGGCTGATTAGGCAATACACAAAACTCAAAAACTTGTCATAATTTAAGAAGTTAATTGTCTTTTTAGGACTTAAGGAATTGGAAGTGTGAAAATAATTTATAAATATAACCTAATTGTTAATTTCTAAACAAGCAATGAATCAATGTGTAGAAGACCACGATGAGAATGGAAGATACAATCTCATAAATCATGGTAAAGATTAAAACCACTGTAACAGAGCCAGACCACAATTTAGATGAAACCTAAGAATTTGTTTGTATGCTTTGAAATTGAGCACATACAAATATATATTAGCAAATAGTGAACATCTGAAGGTTTTTGAATTTTTTTTTTATTCACAACTTCAGAAGACATCTAATTAATACTATCCTCATATCCAGAATGACAGCAGTGAGCAGGCTGACTAGGGGGTTTAAACTTAGTAGGGTATTTGCCCAACTTCTACTACAACAAAAACAACAAAGCCTTAGTGCTTAACATGAGTTATCATAAGGAACTGTTTGAAATCGGAAAAGAGCATATCAAAATAATCATCATTTGAATAAAAGTTGGAAATAAGTGTGTAAAGTGAATAACAAAAAGAGTATACAATTAAAATTTACGAGAGTTTCAAAGAGTGGTAAGGAGTTTAAAAAGAGAGGAAAAACGTGTGAGTAAAGACATAATTGAGAAAACATTAGCAAAGGAAATAAGTAAAAGTATGCAAAACACGAGTTGAGCAAATAATTAAAATACTAAAATTATCTAAACAAATAGTATATATTTATACTAAATCATGACACTTCTCACAAATTTTCTCCCTCCACTCCACCCTATCCAACACCATATTTCCCTCAATCCCCAAAGCACTAATCACTCTCAACCATCTTCCTAACTTCATTGTAATAATTAAACTAAAACTAAGTAATACAAATCCCATCTTAATTAAAGCTAAACAACCAATTGGTCATCTTCATTGTAATAAGTAATAGGTTATACTAGTGTACTTTCATCTTGCAAAAGTAGGCAAAACATTAGTGTACCGTGTAAAATAGTAAAATTGCAATCTACTACGTCGTATCACAAATTCACAACCAAAACAACATGGTCAAACCCAAACCACTGTAGCAACCCAGTGACACTCACACCAGTCGAATATATAGACCTGGTGTGTAAACTACAAATAAAATTCACATGCCATAGTGATCAGCAGCAAAATTGAGTTTAAAAAGATGGGAAAATGATTGATACCTCACCCTCAATGTCATAAACATCCTAAAAGTCTAAAACCAAAGTTACTAATTTATATGTAACATTGAATAACATATGACAACACATTGCATTCTCTCTAAACAGAAGACAATGCCATACTCAGAAAATGTGACATCCAGAAATTAACAAACAAGCGCTTCACAGAACAATTACTTAGAGATGATAACAAAAAATACCTAGTTCCTCAGTTTCCCATCCTGCACGCCCTGCTCCTGGAAGCACCTTTCCTGTGTCAGCTTCATGAGTTTTTGCACGGAACTTTTTCTTGAGATTACCAAACTCATCATACAGCTCTCCATCATCCTAAAAAATGCAACAATAAACTCAGAATAAACAATACAAAAGATTCTTAAAAGTTAAAAAGCTATGGTAAGCAGATAAATTTTCTCACTTCTGCAGCTTCACGCCGGCGTCGCTTTGTCTCTTCTAACTCTTCCTCGTCAAGTTCCTTGTAGCCACCAGCACGTCCTCCCCTGGAAATCATCAATAAGTATATGGTTAGTGATTTCACTATATTCAATAAACGTGGCCTCTACACAAAATACTAGAGCATTTTTTACAATCCACTTTTTCTCAAGGCTCATTAAACAAGTACAAAAAAATTCAAAATATGCTTAATAAGCCTGTTATTTGCAGCATTGTAAATGAAATGTGAATCCCTAAACTGAAAATCTGGCATTACTGAACCAATAAAAGATATTTATGTGAAGAAATGAACTGAATCAGAAAGGAGATACTTTCTCAGTGACCAAAACACAAACCCAAACTATGCTTTGCATATTAATGCAACAACAACAACAACAAAATTAACTCCCAGCTATCCCATTAAACAAAAGAATGTTTGCTCTGGGTTCGAGTGGCATTTCACCCCTAACCACAACTCATCCGCTGATTAATCAACATCAGTCGGTTCGGACCTCCACTTGGTTTCACCCAAGCTTCATCCAAGTGTATAGCTCTACGCAGTTACATTTTGATGAAGAAAGTAACAACTCCAAGCTGTCCCACTCTCACTTGCAAATAAAATCAGATAGATTTAGCATATGTACCAAACCACCAAAGCTTGGACCTTTGGAGGCACACTCTTGTAAACCTATCCAATTCCCAATTAATTGAGGATCCTCTAACAAGACTAATGGAAAATACTCAAAAGATCACAATTGACAAAACAAAGAATAATTGACAAATGGTCATTATTAGGAAACCCGTTTGTGAGGTAATCCTCCCCCCTCCTTTTGATTCCAAATGAGAAATCCAACTTTCATTGATTCCTATTTTCCAGCCCTTTTTGCATGTGTCGCAACTAAAAAATTTCGCAATTGACAGAACAAAGAATAATTGATAGATGCTCATTATTTGGAATCCCGTTTGTAAGGTAATCCCTCCCCCCCCCCCCCTCTTTTAATTCCAAATGAGAAATCAAACTTTCATTGACTCCTATTTTCCAGCCTTTTTTGCATGTGTTGCAACTAAAAAATTTCACCCACATCTCGCTACTCACTAGCACCCACTTTCTTCTATCTAACCCAATTTAATTTTGTTCTTATCATCCTCTTTCTTTGTCTTAACATTTCTCCATATATGGGTCTTATTTGCACATTATTGGGGCTTTGTGGTTATTAACAAGGAAATGGAGAACATTTGGTTAAGTTTTCATACAAATCAAAAACTTTAATCTACACATAAGAATCATTTAATTTCAAATTTTTTTTTCCACCTTTGTTTTTCATTAATCATTTGGGTCTTTAGTTGCAGTGGAATAAATTGGTTATTGGGAAAGAAACTATGTCTACCAAGATCAAAATCTGCATCTTCATCTTTGTTTTTAGCTAAATCTTATAAATGTTTTCTAATTAATTGGATTAATAATTATAGAACAAAGTTGATGATAGAATGGTAGACTGGGAGAAGGACGTGACCAACCAATGAAAAGAGATGTTGACCTCCCAAACTGCTTTGTTAAAGGATATGTCGAAAATGGAACGAATTGAGGAGCTAAAATCAGGGCCCTTCAAAACATAATAGTGCAAAATTCCAAATGAAACAGTAAAAAAGATGGAGGGAAAATCAGCTTTTGGTAGTAATATGTTATTGATAACGATGGGAGGAGTTAGTTCTTGGGAATATTTTGGCTTCTGCTGTCGGACTTGTGCGTTAAAGTCCACAAATTAACATTATATTAATTTGTAAGTCCAAATCATTTGTTTTATGGGATAAATGCTTTGCTTCCACATATTCCTAACACTATTGCATATTGTATAAGCAAGAAAGTGACAAAGAACCAGAAAAGTGAACAATAACAATTTGGGAGATGGAGAGATGGTGAGCACGGTGGGGTGGGAATTAATGAAAGCGAATGGAAAGAGGAACAAAAAAAGGGAAAACTCAAGGAGAAAGAAAGATGAATAGATCCTTTCAGCATAAGGAAAGAGAGAACGTGTGCTAGTTGAGGAAACAACGCATGAAAATAATGCAAAAAGAGAGTCAATCACCCAAAATTTAACTTTCTCACCCGATATTAGAATCAGGGTGCTGAATTTAAAGAAAATGCTATGTTAAGGTACCAGTTGAAATAATAAATTGAATAGGTACTAGCTAAAAAATTGTAATCCGTCATTTAACAATTTTCTAAGTAAAAATGGTTTTAAAATTCAAGAACTTTCAGCTCTTGGTCTACAAATTAGAACTCAATCAAGAACACGCAAACTCAGCACAAAAAAGGCAGACATGATAATATGTATCTGTGTCATTAAATGAGCTTGAGTTTATAGCCTACAATTATTCAATGTCATGCAAAGTTTATATACACAGATAACACAACTGAATCAAACACATAAGATAACTAAGACTCTAGGGAGTACTAAATACGCACAAGTTACCCTATGAATACTGGAGATTCTTTAAACATTTAAGCTGAAATTTGAGAAAGTATGGAACAGTAATCAAATTTATATTTGACCATTAGAAAACAAAGCTTACAGTAACATACCTTACACCACCCTCACTGATACCAGGTTTGTTAGTGTTGCAAATGTTGCATTTTGTACGTTTTGCCCAATTAATATTAGCACACCTGCAACATCAGGGAATCAGATAACTTGCACTGCATGCCACACGCCATACCTTCTTTTTTTTTTCTTTTTAAATTGAAGGGGGAGGGGGTGTTAAGTAATAACAAAAGTCATTGAAAAGACATCAAGGGAGCATCACCCACATACAATTGTGATGCTCCATAAAGATGAGCATTCTAGGAGCAAACAAGCTATAATTATCAGAACACAACAATTATTTTGATACTATCAAGATGAAAATGGGTATAAAAAGTCTTATTGCAAGCAATCCAGCCTTACATGGGACAAGACCAGTCATTTGGACCAAATAGTCCAGCTGTTGGACCAGTTGCAGCTCGTGCATGACCTGCAGCATCAGTAGCTCCACGACCTCTTCCTCTACCACCACCCCCAGCACCACCAGAGGCACCAGCTGGCCGGGCAGTTCCACATCGATTGCAAACACCACGAAAAGCGAAATTCACATTGGTACAACTGTTAATACACTAAACGTAAGAAACTTTGTAGTGCTAGAGTAGTAGCAAACAATAAGCACGTAAAAGGAGCAAGAAAGAGCTGCTCACCAATCTCACATCACAGACCTTGTATTTGGACACATCCAATCACCATCCTGTTGCCATGCTTTTCCAGAAGCATCACCCCGCCCTCTACCTCTTCCTCCAGCCCCATTCAGGTCCACCACATCTCCAATGGGTTCAATAAAATCACCAGGGACAGCGGCGGGGGCAGCAGCAGGTATACCTGCATCCACTGCATCACCCTTATTCTTGGACTGTGCTATAAATACACCAATTACATTTCCATGAAACTCTTTATTATTGAACCATTCGACAGCAGCTGCTGCAGCATGTGGATCTTCATAGGTGATTGTTGCATCACCCTTTGGTTCGTTTGTCACCTTATCATGGTATAACCATATCTTCGGTTGACCAGTTCTTTTATCTTTCTGCAATGAAGATCACCCCAGAAAAATATATATAAGATTAAAATTTCTATGGTTAAACGAGCTAAATGTTGCAAACCTAATCCTGGTATTATGGAGGATACAACATGCATCATCAGATTCATCACAATATAACAATTCTCCCTACCTTAATCAATCCAATGGTGCCAAAGAATTCAGCCAACATGTTATCATCAGTCCCTTCAGGTAAGTTACAAACATAGATAGACCCATTTGTGGGAACGCCTTTGCCCAAATAGTTTGCCATTAAGCTCCAATATTCATTCAAAATGCCACCAAAGCAACCAGCATCAAGCCCTGTTCGTAAAAATAGAACAATCAGGCCACATTTGACTTTAGCAGTCAATGCTCACAAACTTCGACCACAATTTTAAGAATACATTTAAGACATACTCCTCTTGTCCAGATAAAATATTGTCACTCCTCTTCTAATTTCTAGGATGGTTTATTCTTCCCCGTTCACACAAGTCTTTATTTAAACCAATTCATAATAGCACACCAATGGACAATTTCTGCATTGTTTCAGGAGTACTAGAGTACAATATAAAGGCATTTGTGGTAAATAAAATTCATAGTTTGATGTCATATCCCAAACCATGGTGTGGCAAAGTGGCCAATGTAACAACTATTTCAAAACAGGCTCGAGGGGTTCAAATGTACGCTGCTAAACCTTTGAGCCGAGCCGAGCCGAGCCCCAATAGGCTCAGCGTGAACCCAAAGAGCCTCAAAACCCAAGCATGGTTCTGGGATCGATTAGAGTCGAAAAATGCAACTCATCAGCAACCAAACTTGACTCAATTATCAAATTAGTCTTAAAAATCACATAAAAATCGTATCTTTCAATCAACAACGTAAATTATACATAACAAACTATAGAAACAAAATCGCTCGTTATAAATTTCATAATTTCAGTAATTATAGCCAATACTTAAGTAATCAGCCTAAGAATAACCCTAAATTGACTAAACTAACAATCAAATGAACGAGAGTGATATTAAACCCTAGATTTTGAATTTTATATTAGATAATTGAAAAAAGAAAAATAAATAAATAAAAACACTTTACCTCAGAAACTTGTTCAATGGAGGAGAGAAGATTCAGAGTACGCTTCAATGGAGAACTCAGAGTACGCTTCAATGGAGGAGAGAGATAGGGAGAGAGGTTGAAGCGTAGAAGTGAAAAGCTCAATGGGGAAAAAATGAAAACATAGGAGGAGGATTAGTGACACGTATATAATGTCAACCATCAGATATAAATCAATATCGTTTTATATAGTCCGTGTACGAGTATGAAGTATTGAGTTGTTAAAACGAGTACTCTATAGTCTATATGGAGTATTATGGACGGCTTAATAAAAAAATGTACCAACGCAAAGACATTATCGAACTTGCAAAAGAACACAACGTAATTTTTCCTTTTTCAAATTGAAGGAATGTACAATTGTACGATTTCTATCTTGTTCTCGGATATACTTAGAGTTAGCCGTATTAAATTTGTACAAAGGATTAAGAATTTAAAAAGGTTATTTAAAGTTTGAAAAATAACCTTGTTATATACAAAGTCATTACTAGTTCGTATTTGTGCTATATACAAGTTTATCCAAATTATTCAAAAAAAAAAAATTATTGAATTTATTTGCATTGTTTAATGATTGTAAATGATAATGGTAGACATCTTTCCTTTTCGAAAGATGCAGTTGGAAAAGTATAATTATTTTAAATGATTATAGAAAAACTAATGACGAACAAATGTCAATTAGTATTCAGCTTATCAACCGTTCAAAAAAATAAAACAATATGACGAACAATTGGATGTCACACCCAAGAACGGAAGACTCAAATGATAACTAGATTGCACAATTTGGAGCACTATGAGACTATGAGAGACTTCGACAATGAGAAAGATGAGCATCAATGAACATGATCAACCAAAACTTTGGCACGCAAGCAACATCCTTGTCTTGGGCTTCCTGCTCTTCCATACTATCACATAGCACCTTACCCTTAGTTTCGGGCAAAGATATGACCAAAAGGCCGCAAAGAAGAATGGTCACACCAAAGACTGCATGAGAGAAGAGTTGATTGCTCCTCCCTATGACTACCAACACCGGGACAAAGACAGACGCCAAGAGCAGTGCCTGCCTCGACAGTGAGGCTGCTGTGTTCCTGATGCAAGTTGGAAACAACTCCACAACATACATGAACAAGATATTAAACACCATACAAGCACAAAATAGGGCTATCAGTTCCAGTCCAACATGTGCACCCTTGTGATGATGACCGAATGTAATGGAAATTATACCGGCAGCACCACTAATCGTGCAGAATCCTAGCACTGAACTCCTCCTGTTGCATCTTGGGATCCAGAAGAGGAATGTTAGCAGGCATGATGAAAGGAATAGTAGGGCATTGAATGTTGAGCTCAAGTATATGTTGAGACCCAAGCCTCCGACACCCAACAACATACCGAAATACATCATTCCAACACCGAAACTAAGTACCATAGCTACTATCAACCTTCGAATAGCCCATCTTTTCTTGACTAAAATCTTCATTGAAGAAAAAGGATTCTTCCCGTTATTGTTAGGAATACCTTGATTAATTTCTAGAATGTTTGGTAACATTGAGCTGGTATGATCATCCAGGGAGCCGATACTTTTAAGTACATTTACGGCTTCCATTGGACGTCCCATCATGAAGAGCCATCTAGGAGATTCACATAGGAAGAAATGAATTAATATGGAGCATACAAAACCAGGTATGGAAGTGCAGAGGTAAAGGGTACTCCATGAGGAATTTCGAGTCAAGTAAGCTAAAGCCGACAAGGATAACAATCCCATTGTTAAGAAGAGGAAACCAATCATTACAATTTGGCCTCTCCACCGTTTGCCAACCCTCTCCGACAGAAGGACAAAAGAAGAAATAGTAATGGAGACACGGCCAACACCAGCAATGAAGCGGAGTACAGAGTAAACCCAGATGTTAGGAGAAAAGGCCGAGGCAAATGAAGCTAGTGACATAACCAAGCAGGAGAGACAGAGAAGGTTCTTTCGCCCAAGAGATGAATCACCAAGGGAGGCAAGCACATATCCACCCAACAAGCAGCCCATGAAGTAAGAAGTCGCGGGTAAACCCTTAATGAAAGAGCTGGCACATTGGAGATCCCAGTCTGATATGATTGTGTTGTGCTTATTCCCAGTCCAAGCCCATTCACTCCTCGAAAGATTACAGATGTTAGAGCTGCTGGTGCAACTACCTCCTATCCGACTCTCACTTACGCAATGCCATTTTGGTTGAGCATCTGTGAAGACACTGATAAATGTCTGTTGGTTGTCAAACATTGGAAGAACTGATGCAAGGAAGGCTTGCACCATCTGACTGCAATTCATCCGTCCAAGACTCCCCTCGATCACTTCTTCCACGGATAGTGGTGCCTCCTTCTTTGAGTCACTCCTATCATATTGTTCGTCTATGTCAGGAAGCTGACTCCCCTTGATCCCCTCTTCTGCAGACAGTGGTGCCGCCTTATTTGTGTCACTCTGACAGTCTTGTTCGGCCATGTTAACAGACAGAACAGAGAAGTAGAAACTGATTCAGCAATTGAAATATAAATCACAAACACTCCTGTGATAAATGCAGGAAGCAATAAATAAGAAGTTTTATTTACTTCAAAGAAAGAACTTGTACAATTTGTTTATCTCTATACAAGTACGTGTATACTAGGGACATAATTAAGTAGCATAAAAATATGCATATGTTAAACAGGTACAAATATGCAACTACCCACATACGTAGGTTTTTTTTTTTTTTCCCCGAGTTTTATATAAAAGAAAGACTTCAAACAGTCATCTAATATGTATATAAGTAGTATATAAGATCATAGGGAGTATTTATCATAAATGTTCCTGTCTGCCATCTCACACAGATCAGGGATTATGAAGAAGAATGCATGAATCAATCAAAAGTCTTAACAAATCCTTCTTCGTGATATTCATTTTATAATTATTTAACCTGTAAATACAAAAATTGTTACGCTACTGGGTCTATAATTATATACATTAACTTAAAAGTACTAAAATTATTAAAGGTTAGTAGAGCATTACGACCCACCCACTTCACAATGTTCACATTTTTATGATACTGTATCCTAGTGATAATGATGTATCAGTGTCCAATTATAGAGGAGCTCTTCAATGATCCCCGAGATTAACAAAACAGTCCAATCGCGTATTTATTTATAGCACATTGTATGTGTTGCAGTATTCAGATCCTTAAGGAGGTATTTGTTAGTTTCACTTGAACGATGGTAATTTCTACAAATGGTACTCCAAATGACAATATACCTGTTATACAATGCGAACTTGCAGTAGTTAGGACTTGGTATTAAGAAAATTTTAAGCAAGGATACATCCTCTTATTAAATCCCGCCCTATGTTACCTTTTTATATATACTCTCGTACTACAGAATACCTCAATTTCAAAGTAGGTGTCTACTCTAACGAGACTATAATATATACTTCATATGTCATTTATAATATCAATGCATTCTAAATGAATACCAAGAAATCGCTAAAATATACCGATCTAGATCTTCATCTACCCTACGAATATTTTTCATAGATGTGCAGACCACCATTATAAGCATCTGACAGTCTTACAATTGAAAAAGTCAACCGGGACATTAGGCAATAACTCAACAATGAACAAACGATGTTTTAAAATGGCAATTCCATGATCAATTGGACATATTTTACAGTATATCATAACTGCACACAGTTCACAAAAAAAGATAAGAAAGAGTGCATTTTATAAGCAAAACAAGAGATTTAAAGAAAACATAACGAATGTATAAACAATACTCCCTCCATTTTCAAATGTTGGGCGTATTTGCTATTTAAGTTGAAGTAAAACTTTAATTTCAAATTCTCTACTCTTAATAATAATAATAATGGCAAAATTAAGAAAAACATCAAATACTTAGAATGGGAGGAAACACTGTCATCAAGGTACTCACTAGCTAGCACAGGACACTGTCATTTTTTTTTTATCCTTCACCCGAGTGTACGCGCATGCATGTGTAAAGAGCTTAGATCAATAAGCTACGCACAGAGGAAAATTCACAAGTTTAACAGAACAAAACCTATGTTACTTGGACTCGGATGAAGTGTCAAATTAGACACGGGTGTCCAAGCATCGGACTCGCCCATTTTCTTGAAAAAAGTTGTGTTTTTAGTTAAAAATGAAGTGTCCAAGTGTCGGTGTCGGTGTCCGACACGAGTCGTGTCACGGACACATGAGGTAAATGAAAGAGTCCGAGTAACATAGAACAAAACTGTCATTTTCCGAGTATGGTGTGGCTTTTATATGATCAGTCGTCTCAGACATGCTTTCCTACGCAATGGCCTTTACAAAGTGGGACAAAACAATGATAAGCACGGAATTTACAGTTCTTTTATGAATAAAGGTGCTTTAATTTCTTACGAAAGTATAAGAAAATGGCTCCATTAAGATAGCATTATTGGAGAATGACGATCAATCAGATAAAATTTACCAAAAGTACATTGCAACATGTCATTAAGAAGACAAACATCAGTTCATTCAAGTTGCCTTGTCATATATAAAAATTACATAGGAATCCCATTATTGACAGGAAAAGACAACAGAAAGATAGGTAACCTTACCTCAAAGTTGTCTAGCAAAGATTGATCAATCCCATCACTTTCAAGACACTCGTATTCGTGTTATGTGGTATCTTCCTCTAAGCAATTGCATGTAGAGTGCAGCGAGTGCCCTTTGATCAGTAATTTCTCCAAGATGGTAAATTCCATTTCCAGAAAGGCAATTTAATATATAAAAAAAAATATTAAAAATTAAAATGATACTTCCTCCATTTCTTTTACTTGCAACACTTCCCTAAAAAGGAAATGTCACAATACTTGCAACACACTATAAAAGAAAAGTTACTTTAGGGAAAAACTATATTATTTCCCTTATTTAAAGCACATGGCCCACCAACTTACACTCCTAACAACCACTCATCCTATTTTAAAGTTTATTATATCATGTAAACCCCACCTTTCTTAATTACCGTGCTAAAGGGTGTGTTGCATCTAAAGAAAAACGGAGGAAGTATATCATAAGAAAATAACAATCTATCACTATTGAGAAGAGTTTACCCATTAATAGAAGAGTCCAACAACCGAAATCAGAAGTATCTAACTACTTGACTGCTTATATACAGCTGAATGTGCTAAATAGCAATGTATAGAAAGAAGCCAATGAAAATAAAGAATAAGAAGATTCACCTTGCTCTTATAAAGGTTAAAGTATTGAACAGAACTTCCAAAAAAATCGACTGCCTCAACCCTCAACCTCCACAGTGCAATGAAATATATCAAGTATGTAGAAGGAAAATACAAAATCACATAATTTAATGTTTCTAACTTCAAGCACAAAGTAATAGTTGTACATGAACCACTATGCTCATGAACAAGCTTGATCAAAGATCAAATAAAGCTGGTTCATATAATAGAATGAACATGATCAAATAAAGGTGGTTCATATAATTGAATGAACATGATCAAAACTATTAAATTGGTTAACCAAGACTTCATAGGAAGGAGATTGTGAGAATGTAAAAACATATACAGATGTAACCTGGACACCATGGTGATGCGCTACTTTAGAGGCAGATAATAGATGGGAAGAGCAATAATAGGATTCCTGTATTTAGAGGTTTATTCCCTCCATGAGATCCCCAATTGGTGGCAGATCGAAGGAGATCATTCTTGGAGAAGCTGGAAAGTGCTAGTTTTGGGTTCAGTTCAAGTAATAAAGCGATCAGCAAAGCAGCAATAAAGTAGTAATTCTCTTGCAGCTGCTGCATTTGATTCAAGCTCCCCAGCTGTGCATGACATGCTATAATTTCATGCTTGCTATAATGATTACTTAATGCATAGAACTGGTGCTCCAACAGATAAGCATTCTTCGAGGTTATTGAAAATTTGGAATTACTTCCTCAAAATTACAGCAGAAAACTTAACTAAAATATCAACACTCATCAGCAAAAAATTCAGGCGCAGAAAACTAAGGGAAAGATGGAAGAGACTCAAGGAATGATAAAATTGTATGGACTACTCCAGCCAGTTTATAAATACAGCCAATCAATAACAGAAACTTGATACAGATTTATGGAAAGACATGCATACAATGGTCCCAACGTTTTAAGAGGTTTGACAGTACAAAATTTTGTAGTCAGAAATCAAATATTGAAGTTCAGTACAATAATTTGACAAACACCAGTCTGCAACTTTTGCTCACTACTACTAGAAGAACCCAAAAGTATTATGAGGCTGAATTACTGTAAAAAACTAAAAATCAATCTTCAGCATGTGTTGAATACAAGGCCAGTCCTCTACAAGGGGATCTTTTTGGCATCTTCTCTCCAAGCTTACCAAGTAGTTGGAAACACAGTTCCCTGAGCAAAACGAGTTTGGGCATCCAATTCAGCATTGATTCCAGTCAGTTGCAATCAGTAATAGAAAGGGTTTGAAGGGAGGACAAGAACAGCATCCAGTTGGGTAAACTCACCAGCTGTAGAACATACTGCATATTCAAGGTGTGGAGGGAGTAATAAAGTCCATGGAAAAATCCCTATGCCATTATCTCTCTCTTCTGATGGCCTAAGATCTTAACAGCTGCTTAAGCTTAGCTCCTCTAAGGCAGTGACATGCTCCAATCCTCTAGAAAAACATAGTCCTCAAAATGAAAAATTAATAAAGGGACAAGTACCGCAGCGAAGGGAAACAGCTCTTGGACACCACCCCAACTTCTCCCAAGCTCTCCAAGTCTTTATCTTCTCTATTATCATTCTTTCAAGACATTGGTAGGGCAGGGAATTTAGCCATGTACCATTCTCAATACTTATATTCCTTATTTTGAGAACAAGAATAACACTAAAAAATTTCAGATTCAAACAAAAATGGTGTAGAAAGATTGTCAACATCATCACAGGATAGCCAAAGATAATTCTAACAAATTGGAGCTAGATTTTAATTACATGCTCAATTATTCAACCAGGCATCAACAAGTGATGATACAAAACCAAAAATAACTAAGGGTAGCATGAAGTGCATATAATTGCATCTCAAGCAGCAATTCTGAATATTACTATTTCATTACAGTGCTGCTGGCATATGATTTATGGAGACAAAATGACTTCCATTATGCTCTATGAGCAAGCGTAGAGTATGCTAAGAGTTCAAAGAGCCTTGACTGCACAAGTTGGGATTCACAGAAGAATATGCTCTTAGCGTTGCCTCGTGCTTTTCCTTTCAGATGTCTCAGATACACGACCAATGCATTCGTAAAAACTTTTATTCCACCAGCAATTATGATTTGCTTTACTCATGATTAAACAAATCATTTAGAATAAGCCAGTTTCATCACCATATATTAAAGATTCTAATCCGGATAGATCTGGAAATTAATGTTCCCTAACTGAATTAAAATTAGTAAGGAAAAAAAAAAAAAAGAAAAAACACTAACTGAAGTTCTTCAGTCATACTATTACATACTACGAATTAGTCTCAAATAAATAAATAAAAATAAGACTCAAAACCATTGGATCTGATATGTAACTGATGCAACACTATAATTCAAATTTTGCACCATGTTTTACCTCTAAGATGGCAAAATTAGTTTGCAACAAGCAACTTGGTTTAGTTCCTATATCTTCAAATCAATTTAAACATATTAGTAAAACATATTGCTAGCTATTTGTCATCACTAAACTCTCTGTTAAGTGCTAACCTTGGACTTCAGAGTTCAGACTTCTCTGAAGTCTGAACCCAACTTTCAGTGTTTCCTTATTTCTCACCCTTATCTTATGGGTTGTTCTGATCTATCTGTTTTTGCCGGCTGACTTGATTGCAGTTTGGTTCACCACATCTAGTACCATACTCCAGTAACAGTAGGAAATTGCAATCACTTATTTTTCTAGCCTGTCCCTAAATGCTGTGCTGAGATTGCTGACCACGATTGATTTGACAGATGTTTGAGCGTTTTCATCCTTAATCACTCTGGGAATCAGCTTGGGTCGACACCACCAGCAGTTCTATTGATCCAGGAAAAGAGATTCTTAGCCCCTACTTCTTGATTAAACTTGATGACTAATTAACATTTTAAGGACACATGATATCTACTAACTTATGATAAAGTTCCAAGTCCTTGACAAGGCTAAAAAAATGTATCAGTGCCAGACAACATACATAGGATTATACACTTCCAGAATATGAAAACAGGGCTAACTAACTACCCGCAATAACATTTCTAGTATTTGAAGTAGTGAATTTGGAGTTCTCAGCCTATCACGTATACAACTAAGTTAGCTAATCACTAGCAAAATTTTAATACTTTGCGACTGACAAATTAGCTCTTCTCAGCTTGTCAATGACACAACAAAGCAAAACCACTGGCTTAACCTAGTACAGAGTCGTTAGTAATTACTTATTGATTCATTAGCTTTATAAGAAGATTTAATATGCACAAACTTAATCAAATACCAAATTACCATTATAGAATTATAAGAAGTATAGGCATCAACTTATGCTTGAAAAATTCTACATATTGGCCTACAAAAATGACTTGAACTAATAGCAATCTAAAATTCATTGATACAACTCACTTGCTCCCCACATTGGTGATCTCGGTTGTTTCAATTGATAAAGAAAGAAAAGTCTTACTTTAATATTACTTCTATGGACATAAGCAATCAATTTTACTAAAATAACTAACCATGTCCACATCTCAAATAAGGACGTAAAAGAGTATCAAGCTATAAGTTAATGAGCACAGGCTCAACAACAATAGATAATCTAGAATAGAAGAAGCTAAAGATAATTTGACAAAATGCTCAACCTAGACAGGTAGAGGCAGCACCTGATGAAGTCATGTGCGTACCATTGTTCCAATGCACCATCCTTCTCAAAGTGGATATCATCGAATACACTTTGGACTTTCAACATAATACAAGCCTACCAGGGAATAGCAGCTTCAATCTTCCCCCATGAGACCAAAGCAGGTCCCCGTAGCCTTTTCTTCATCTTCTTAACCACCTTACACGCCTCCTTTTTCTTCGACATTTCAAGCAAACCCTTAACTAGACCTTCCATTGCCTCAAATGGAGGCACCCATTTGCACTTCAGAATCACCTTACACGTATCCAATGCTGAAAGAAACTCTCCTCCTTGCACCAAATGCCTAAACAAAGTATAATATGTCAATGAAGACGGTGCAACATGCCCATCACCTATCATCCTCTCCAAACCAATTTTAGCCGAATCCAAAGCTCCTAACCTACAGAACCCATAAATAACCCAATTATAACAAGCAGCATTCGGCTTTACCCCTTTAACCTCCATCTCTTTCAACAACTCCATAGCTCGAGCGCACTGCTTATCCTTACACAACCTCACAATCATATGCTTATAAGTAGTCACATTACTCTCTAAACCCCTCCTTAAAACCTCCTTTAACATCTCATCAAACTTCCCCCAATCCTTCCCCTTCAAATAAGCCCCCAACATCACATTATACGAATGAATATCGGGCGAAACCCTAAACTCCTCCTCCATCTTCCCCACCAACAATTCCTCCGCCAAACCCACCTTCCCCTCCTCACAATACGCCCTCAATTTCAAATTATACGCCTTAACACTAGGCGAAACCGACATTTTCTCAGCAGCACAATCAAAAACCTCATGAAACTCATCAAATTTCGAATTATTCAACAACGCAGTAAGAATTGCACAAAAGGGTTTTTCACTAGCATGAAATTGAGGACCATAATCATAAAACAAACGAAGAGCAGAGTCAGTCATACCAGCTTCAGAGTAAAGCATGATGAATCGAAGCACGAAACCTTCAGTAACCTTCTTCCTCTTGGAAAGGTGATCTTTGACGATGGTTTCAACGAGGTCGCAGCGATTGGCGCGGGAAAGCTTGCGGACGGCATAAGGGTAGATGGGGCGGTAACGAGTGAAGGCGGAGAAGGAAGATTGAGAGAGGAGAATGTCGGCGATTTTGGTGGGGTTTGATTCTGTAACAATGGAGGATTGAGCTGCGCGAAACGAGGAGAAGGGAGGAGAGAGAGTGGTGGTGGAGAAGGAGGAGAGTTGAAAAAGGGGTGAGCTTGGTTTTGCTGTGAGAGCTTTGCGCAGTGAAGAGGCCGCCATTTTTGAGGAGAAATGAAGGTTTTGGCTGTTTGAAGAGAGAGTGATAATCGTTAAAACCAGAAAAAGGTTTAGTTGGACACTAGTCACAGTTCACACTACACTAAAATTGACAAGTTGTCAATAGATGTATTCAACGTCTTGTCAAGCTTTAGCATTTTCGGGTCGGGTTGGGTCGTGTCAAGTCTTGGCTTCTTGAGTCCTATTTAAATGAAAAAGTTTTACATACAATCGGTGTGCAGTAAAATACTGAACAACCGATTTTTCGCACGTGTGAACATTAATTTTTTTTTTTTCCTTTTTCCAAAATAACTAACATCTTCTTCAGCAAGCTACAATATAGGAGAGAGAAAACTCCAATTTTCCAGATTCAAAGCTCCTTCACCAAGCAACCATGGAGGAGAGAGAAATCTACAATTTTCGATCAACAATGCCGGAAACCTCCAAAGCTTCCAATTACGAAAACCTAATGCGCGAATTTCTGCAATTACAAAGAGAAAATCGACCACCATTAACGCAACATCCAGAGAAAACATGGAGTTTCGACCTCAATCAAACATTCAGAGAAGGTGAAGTAGAGAATTTCGTTGATGATTTCGATGAATTTAATGATGATAACATTCAAAACTCAAAAGTTCCAGAAATTCAAATACAAGGTAATAATCGAAAAAAATACTAACCTATTGTTTGTTTTTGCTTAAAATTTTGATTTAATTTTCAATAATTAATGCAGATATTGAAAATCAAGGTGTTTCAAATACATTAGAAGATGAAGATCAAGTTATTCCGAACACACTAGATGAAGAAGGACAACCAGTAGATGAAGACGAAGGTAAAATTCTATAAATGTGACATATATTAAGGCAAAAGTTACATATATTATGGCAAAAGTTACATTGACTATATGTTTATTTATAAAAGCATTTATGCATGTCTCTTGGTACAAAAATTACTAATATCATTACAAATGTTACCTTTATTAATACAGAAGTTACTTGTATTATATACCTCTGTACTAAATAACTTATTCTTTATGCATATGCTTAAGTGAATAACCCTATGCTCCCATGTTCTCATGCCTCTAGGTACTTGCTTGTGATTTTGTTCATGCTGTAATTGTGATTTTGGTTACAATTGTTACAAGAAAATGCTAAATATCTCTTATTCTACTAATGCACAGATACAAATCCAAAACCAATAGATACCACTGGTTTAGATATGGAAGGATCATTAGTTGGAGTGGAAAGAGACACTTATTAAGAAATTTATGACTTGTACAGTCTACATGCTTCTACAGTGGGATTTTCAATAAGAAAGCATACAACAAGGTATCGCTTACACACACGTATAGTCACAGAGAAGTACTATGTGTGTTCTGCGGAAGGAAAAAGACATACTACTGCAAAGAAGACAAATATGGTTCTAATGGTTGATGAAGATAACAAGGATTTAAAACAAAGAAAACCACGACAAGTCTCCATTACAAGAACTAACTGCAAGGCAAGCCTAAGAGAAAAAATGAATGATGATGGAAAATTTAAGGTGGTGTCACATGTGTTACAGCATAATCATGAACTAACTAGAAAGCAGTGGCATTATTTGCATCGATCTGAGAGAGAGGTAACAATAGAAAAGGCAGAAGCAATTAAAACAATGAAATCTGCTGGACTTTCAACAATGGGCACATATAATTACATGTGTACAGAAGCTAATGGAGAAGAAAACTTGGGGCATAGTGTTGTAGATCACCTCAATTTCTGCTCAAGACTAAGAATGGAACAAATAGAGGCTGGAGATGCTCAGACATTAGTGAATACTCTGATCGAAGAACAAAAAGAAGATCCTAACTTCTATTTTAGAGTGAAATTCGACAAAGAAGGTAGAATTTCCAACATTTTTTGGAGAGATGCAATGATGTTAGAGGATTACAAAATATACGGAGATGTTCTTGTATTTGATACAACATTGATACAACATACAGAACAAATCGGTATAACCTTATATGTGCTCCTTTTGTTGGAATAGATAACCATTGGAAAAATTGTATGTTTGCATGTGCTTTCATAGGCAATGAAAAAACAGAGTCGTTTGTGTGGTTGCTTGAAACCTTTAAAAAATCTATGGAGAATAGAATTCCAACCTCCATATTCACTGACCAAGACCAAGCTATGGCTACTGCAATTGAGCAGGTACTTCTTTTTCTATTACAATATCATATTCACTGATTCCACTCTCATTTTAAGTCATTTTTGTGTTCATAACTTTTATGAATATAAGTATCACTTTTGTGAGTATAAATGTTACTTTTGTGAGTAAAAATATCACTGTTGTGAGAATAAGTGTTCAAGTTTAGTGACATATCACATTCTGAATGCAGGTATTGCCAGACACAAGGCATAGGCTATGCATATGGCACTTAGAACAAAATGCAATAACACGATTTGGAGCCCTTAAAAGGGATAATGAGTTCAAAAAAATATTCAACAAATGCTTGAAGGGATGTGTGACAGAAACAGAATTTGAAGAAAGATGGAAAGAAATGATACAAAAATTTGATTTGGTTAATCATGCATGGTACCAAAGGGTGTACAATCTAAAGGAAAAGTGGTGTCCAGCATTTAGTAAAGATTTCTTCTCGGCAGGAATTCTTTCATCATAAAGAAGTGAAAGTACGAACCATGCAGTAGGATTCAGAGCTAATAAATCAACAACACTGACAGAATTCTATAGAATCCTTGTAAGAACCATAAAAAGATGGAGAAGTGATGAGAAGTATAATGAGTTTACCTGTAGCAAATCAATAGCCTTTACTTCATTGCCACTATCCGGAATGCTAAAGCATGCTGCTCAGGTAATTCTATATTCCTTTATTACATATATCTAAGAACTGAAAACAAACAATATAAGCAAATATAAAAATGATACATGCAAAGGAACATGACTGGTAGTAAGTTATTTCTCTAATGTACAGGTTTACACATTGTCTCTATTTAGAGACTTTGAAGAGGAATTTGGCTACTCAATGGCGACCACAGTACAAATTCTAGGGAGAACTGAAGAAAACATTATTCTTTATGAAGTATCGCTAGAAGAAAAGCCATGGTCTTCCCAACAGGTAAGTTACATACATGAGAGCCAAACTATATGGTGCACTTGCAAGAATTTCGAAGCTTCTGGTTGGCTATGCTATCACTGCCTAAGAATTTTACATCTACATTCTATTACAAGAATTCCAGAGAAGTACATTAGCAAAAGATGGACAAAGCTTGCAAAAACTGAAGTATGGAATAGAATGGAAAATAAGGATCCAAAACTCCCATATACACCATGGAGACATACAATGATGAAAAAATATTATAACTTAATCTTAAAGAGTCAAGAAAATGAAAAGGAAAGAGCATTCATGGAGGAAAACTTCAAAAACTGTATGAAAATGGTGGAAGACTTACTTGCGGCCGAAGCTTTTACAGAGGAGGTTGCTGCAAGTGATGACAATTCTAATGTGGCAGAGAGTGCTCAGAGTACCAATAATACTGCTTCTTCATCAACAAGTACAACCATACCCACTATATTAGACCCTAAGAGAGCTGTAACAAAGGGAAGAAGCAAGAGAGCAAAAGGAGCACTTGAAAAAGGGAAGAAATCAAAGCAAAAAGCATTACCAGATCCTAATTCAGAGTTTGGATTGAAGACACCTACTGTGCGACTTTTTTGAACTTGTAGTGAGTTTGGATGAAACACAATTGAATACTTTTTTGTAGTGATTTTATTTTTGTTTAATGCTACTATTGACTTTCATACAGAATTTTGAATTGTGATATGGAATTGCTCATGAATTATGAACATTTATATAATATTACACTAATACTTAAAAAAGTAATGCATATACTGGCAAAAGTGATGCATATACTGGCAAAAGTGATGAATTTACTAACAAAAGTGACACTTACACTTACAAAAGTGATGCATTTACAGAAAAGTAACACTAATACTCGCAAAAGTAACAATAATGCTCACAAAAGTGATGCATCTTCTCACAAAAGTGTTACTTTTTACTCACAAAAGTGATATTTATATTCACAAAAGTGACAATAATTATCACAAAAGTGTCCGTTTTTAAAATTAATAACATGGTAATATATATGTTAAACTTCAAGTTTTCATTTAAATCAACTATATCTCTGTATGATGATATATGATACACTTATAAAATTATAATCAGAAATAAAAATAAATAAAAATAAGAACAACAGATTACCAATATTTAATCATATATATATATATATATATATATATATATATATATATATATATAAAATAAAATTTGTACAAACATTTTGAAAATATTAACACTAGTTTAAGTGTCGATATTTATCACTAGTTTCAACTTCCAAAAGTACTTAACTAATTACAACTTCCAAAAGTACTTAACTAATAACAACTTCCAAAATTAGCTAAGATTTAGAAGGAGTGTACTTCCGTGTAGCCTTTGTAGTTCGTTTTGATTTCGGAGCAGTGTCAACAGTAGGAGGAGCAGTTTCAGATTTCTTTTTTTTCTTCTCCGCTGCTGCATCCTTCCTTTTTCCTTCAATTTCAGCAACATATGCAAGATCGCTCTTCTTCTCATTAAATTTTTCAACTTCTGCTAAGACATCAGATCTTGATTCGTTCATGTCAGACAACACGAGTTTTTCACAAATCTTAGAACGTAAAAATTTCCTCCCAGCAGCCTCACAACAAGAAAATAAAAGGCGCATTAATATGTATAAAACATTAGAATAAACATAACAAATGAATTAATTCGGATCAGTTTCAAGATCACTCACTGTTCTAAGTTCATCTACAGAAAACGATGTATCACCAACAAAATGCTCTATATGACACATCATATACACACCACAATCATTATTATCAACCTTACTCTTCCGCCACACTAAATCAGCAATTTTAAACTTGTAAAAAGGGACTTTTTCACTCTTTGGATGATTTCTTCGTGCAAGAAAATCACCAAATTCAGAACACTGAAAAAAAACAGAATATTAAAAACAACAAAAAAATAAGATTAATATAGAAACATACTTTAAAATAGACAATAACATACCAGATAAAAAGTCAAATTTTGAAAATATGTAATCATGTCATGACTCCAAATGATATTATCAACATAATGAACCAATTCATTGCCATGATCAATCACAAACATCACATAATGTTCATCAACAAGAATAGGAAAATAAACCTGAAAAAAAATAGAACAAAAGTTAGCATAAAGCACATCCATCACAGTTAATATATATTAAAAATTAAGATATATACCAAGTCTGCACCAATAACATCACAACAAGAATTTTCATATGTAACCCATTCATCCCAAATTTCATGCAAATCCGAGACAGCAGAACTAGCAGAACTATCTTCGTTCCCCTCTGATACTTGCAAAAAAGCAAACTAAAAGGAAAAAATAAATAATTGAAAAGAGTAAGAAAACAAATAACTCAAAACAGAAAGTTGCTTACACTTTGCCTCGCACCAAAAAAGAATCTTTTAGGACCACAAGTATCATAAAAACATGATTCATTTAGATAAATGCAGTAGCAATCAACTACTGACCAACGAACCAAATTAGGATGCACCAAAGACACCATATCCTCTCTTGGAATGAGAAAATGCAATCCATAAGTAACAAGATTCTCACTGCAAGGTCAAACAATATTATTAATATCAAAACAAAAAGAAAAAGAAAAAAAAAGGTTTCAAATAATATGACAATTAAAAAAGAACTTACTTATTATTAAATAAGTGTTCCACCAGACAATAATCAAGAGCTTCTAAATATAATCGAGGTAATTTTTCACTAAAAGCACGAGAATTACTTTTCATAAATGGCGTAACAAACACTACACTCTGACCACCAATTTCACCACAGTCCAAAGAACACAAACTTTTATTCGTTCTTCTGACTGAACCATCTCCGCCACCACCATCTCCGCCACCACCATCTCCACCACCTTGTAGGGTAGACTTTGATGAAGTACTTGCATCAACTTTAAGTAACTCATCCACTGACTTCATTTTTATAAACTCATCAATTAAGCCATCAATAAGCTTATGATAATGCAGGTTAGATAAAAGCTGTTGTGTTTGAGACAACTCAATAGAATCAGCATCCAAAGAAACAGAATGTTCAACAAAATGACTATGCACCAACCGTTGCAAAGAACTAAAACAATTGGAATTCACAGATGAAAACAACTCCATGTTCCTTTTCATATAAAGAAACGCTTCATGCAAATCCTACACATTAACAAACAATTATATGAGACCAAGAACAAATGTTTTATTAAAGAAAAAAAAAACATACATCAGTTGCAGCACTTTTGATCTCAGAATCAGTTAATACTCCTTAAGGCAAATCGAAAGTCACACATCTTCTATCAATAGGAACCGCACAACCTTCACCCTTACTTAAGTTGTTAACATTCAAATCAACACACTTAGCAGAAACTGGATAAGTCAATTCATTCAAAACCCCCTGACCAAATCCACCAGCCTTCAACTCCAAGGACACCCTGTTCCTCACTTTTTTATCTGTTCAGTGTTGAATAAGAGGAATAGTGGAGTTCTCTACTACACCTTGGAAATTCAAACGATGAAAATACATAATCTTAAGCAAAAACAAACATCCACTAATACTATCTTTAGCCTCAGAATTTTTGTAACTAACAACAGAATTCATCAACTTTCTCAAAACAAATGAACACCAATCAAGATTTTTAATCTGATCAACATCATCCACAGCATTAACTAACCTAAAATTAACAGTCCTATTAGCGGTAGGAACAAGCATACTACTAAGAGCATGCATAACAAATAACCTCTTAAATTCATCACCTCCATCCACCAACTCCTTGATCCTAGTTTCTAATCTAGCCAAAGGTATCAACTCCTTAACACCAACATCAAAAGAAGCTCTCCATTTTATTTTTCAATGCACTATCATCTTGAGATTGACCTTTGTAACTACCCTTCATTTCAGGAACCTCACGACCTTCTACCTTAGGCAAACCAAAAACATCACACACATCATGCTTAGTCACAACAAACTCCTTACCATCAGCTACACAAAACATACAAGTATATCCATTAAAACTCTCAACAAGCCAAGGAAGTATACCTCCAACCATACTCTCCACACGTAAAGACAACAAACCACCAAATCCAACCTCTTCTACATCTTTTTTTTGAGTCGGAGAAAGCCCACTTATAACCTTAACTAATGAAGAAGGTCTACAACGACATGTAATTTTCCTATCAGGCCTGAAAAAACAAAAAAAAGATGCTTACCATTCAAAAATGATAATAACATACTTATATACTGAAATTTTAGTTATCATATAAAATTAAACATGAATTATGAACATTTATACAAATTTTTATACTTATTCTCACAAAAGTGACAATCATAATCACAAAAAATGATACTCATGAGAGTCATGACACTCATTGCATGGATATAATATTCAAAAAAGTGATTACTATCAAAATTTTCACAAAATGATACTTGCACTCACAAAAGTGACATTGATAAATACAAAAGTGAAAGATATACTCACAAAAGTAACACTTAATATATAGACACAAAAATCACATAAAAACAGTCCTATTAATCAAAGTTACCTATACTCTTACAAAAGTCACAATTCCATTCACAAAAGTATAGCAAATATACAATATTCTAAAACATAAAATCTTACTCGTCATCCTCTTTTTCTTGCCTCTTCCTTTTATTTACCTTGGATGTACTTCCTTCACCTTTCAACATCTTTTTTCTTCCTGCATCCATTTTATTTACCGCTTTTTGAGCTCTACTATAACGAAAACCTTTGATAGATCCTACCAATTAATTTAAAAAAAAAATCACAATAGAAATTTTGACAAAATTTGACAAGATTGTACCAAGCAACACAAAAAGATAAACATATCCACCATGTTTGCCACACTAAAATCAAATGCAGCATTTAATTTATATATATTAAACTGTAAACGAAAATAGTAGAAAAATACCTAAAATTCATACACAAAATGCTTTCATCAATTTGATTGTACTACTATGAACATGCAATTTTTCATTTGGACATTTTTACAAACACCTAACAGGCAATTCTCAAAATAAACCTAATCTAAGCAAAAGCAACTGATTAAAACGCACAACTAAACAAACATAGCACAAATTGTACAAAAAAAAATTGCGAAAATGAGAACAAACACTAACCTAGAGCAACATTATCATCACCAGAAACCTTCTTCTTCACCATTGCAAAAACTACAAAAATCCAAAACAACGAAACCCTAAAAATCGAAACACTTCAAAATTGAATAAAATGAAATAAAATTGAGAAAACAAACCTGAAAATAGCAACAATCAACTTCAAAGTGAAGAAATTAAAGATCGAAAAGAAAGAAATTCAAGTAGCAACGCCAAAAGCAAGAGAAGAAGAGAACAAGAGGAGAGAGAAAAAAAACCCAGAGAAAGAGAAACAGGAAAGAGAAGAAGAAAGAGAAAATAAGAAATTTTTTGGTTCTTTAAATTTACACGTGTGAGCCCAAATTGAGCAGCCCAATTTGCACTTGTTTGCTGTGATTTTCAGTAAGTTAGTGAAAACCCGCTTTTATTAAAAGTTTGTCTATTTAAATTGAGTTTTATCGGACTAATTAAATCTGAGAGTGACTACTTCAGCTATCTCATTTATTGTGAATAATTTGGAATCAAATTGACAAGTTGTCAATAGATGTATTCAAGGTCTTGTCAAGCTTTAGCATTTTCGGGTCGGGTTGGGTCGTGTCAAGTCTTGGCTTCTTGAGTCCTATTTAGATTGAGTTTTATCGGGCTAATTAAATCTGAGAGTGACTACTTCAGCTATCTCATTTGTTGTGAATAATTTGTAATCAAATGTTCACCTACTGTTTGCTATTGTAATTTATGTTTAAACTTTGTTGTGTGTGATGGACTCTTCTTATCCCCTGATAATTATCATTAGTCGTAAAAATTCCTGTTTATATTAAGTTTTTCTAAACTATTGTTTTTGAGAAATTGTTACAAAGTATAAATTCAGTTCAATGCAAAGATTAGTTTTATGGTTCTAAGTCTAACGATGGCCATGTTTGGTAATTGGCTTTTTAATGGTTTTTTGGTTAGCTTTTGGCTTTTGGCTTTTTTAGGTGGTCAAACAGCCAAAAAATGTGTTTGGTTATTGGCTTTTTAGTCAGCGATAAAGCTGGCTTTTAAGCCAAAATGAAAAAGCTGCTTTGAGTAGCTTTTTTGTTGGCTTTTGGCTTGTTAGCCCACAAATTATCTAATAAACAGCCAACAACCAACAATTAATTTACCAAACACTTTTATAAACAGCCAATTTCAAAAGCCATTATAAACAGCCAAACATTCTAGCTGGTCAAACAAGCCAAGTGAACCAGCCAACAACCAACCGCCAACAACCATTTGCCAAACAAGGCCGATGTGTTTGAGGAATCATTATAGAAAAACATTGGACTTTTTGGTCAAAATGTACCACCCTATTTGGGGACAAAGGGGGAGTACCTCTTAAGTAGGTATGAGTGAAAACCAAATTCTACAATTACATGCAAAGATCTGATATGTTTACACTATTAGATATAAAAAATGCAAATTTTTAGTGCAATTGTAATCCTGTGGTGTAGCTTTTCTATCAAAGATAATGTACATTATTCTGTGCAGGGTTTCTTATACTACGTAGTAATATAATCACAAGTCTAGCCTCCAGGGGAGTAATGACTTTGTTTTTATTTAACCAAGAACCCCAATTTAAAAGTTTTATTTGTTTTGTGTACGAATGATCTCAAAGTGATTTTGAATTGATTAATCTCACGGGTTCATTCTTGTGCGTTGTATAATCCATATTGGAATTCCATCTTTCCAATGTTACAATATGTAGAACACTGGATATGCGACAATATCTTTAAATTTGATTTTGACTTCTCTATGTTTAATGCACAAAGAGGAAATATGATTCCTGTCGAGAATGTATTTTCTTATTTGTTCCTATATATCCATAATTGTGATTGTTTTTTAAATTTTTATTTTGTTTTATTTATAATGTCATGTTTAGAGTTTTCAACTCGATATTTAGATTCAGCTCTTAAAAATGCATATACTATTGCATTTATAATATGTGATGGAAACAATGTAATGGGAACAATGCAACACATACATAACATGTTATTTATGTTATATATGCAGGTTAGTATAAGTGAAAGGATATGGATCCATTTGGGTCTTCTAGTAGCAACATCTATAATCAATCCACTATTGCTATTATAGATGGTTATCGGAATACATCTATTCATTGTGATAGAAATGCTTTGACATTTCTTTGTGATCATAGGTGAGACTTGAGAGTTTCGAATTATTTTATATATTATATTCAAATCCTTACTATTGAGTGTATTATTAATGTTTGTTTTTCTTCTTATTCTTTGATTTAGTGGGTTAGAGGATTACAATTTTATTGATAAATTGTTGAGAACTGGTATGAGGCAGGCAAACAATCTACACCAGTAGGAATAAACGCACACGGCTATTTTTGTTCTTTTATCATAGCGTCACGTCGTTTTGTTGATGCTAGTATTGAACAGATCAAATTAGGCACCATTAGTGGCATCTCACCTCCACCCCACATTGCAATCTATGAAACAATCTCACCTAAAATAGATGTGATATCAATGTTACTTTTGAAATCATTCTTATCTCTTTATCGTTTTCTAAAACCACTAGGATTTATCTTAAGCTCTTTTATATATTTATATATATATATAAAGGTTTTACGTAATTTGTTAATTCACAAATAAGTTTTACGTAATTTGTTTTAAAAGGTTCTATTAAATTCTAACTATCAGGAGGTCCCTCCGTACCAGGATTACAACTCAAGCGCTAGCTTGTAGCGCGATTTTTTGTATTGTGGACACTCCTTCAATTGTTCATACTCATTTCGATAAAGAATACAATCATTTGGACATGCATGTATCTTTTTATACTACAAACCAAATGGACACATAAGCTTATTTGCATAATAGTAAGACTTAGGAATTTCATTCCCATCAGACAACATTCACTTAATGCGGTCAACAAAGAAGTAAAACTAATTTCTGTCCACCCATGTTTCGGCTTAATGTTAAAAAGTGTTAGCACGGCTGATAGTTTATTTTGGAGTATTTTTTTGCACCCAGGATATAAAGGTTTTTTTGAAGCTTCCGATATTAATTCAAACACACCACCTTCAACACCATGCAACATTTCATCCACCTCTTCATCTTCGACCTCATCCACCTGATCATCCTCAGCTCCTTTCTCATCATTATCAATAATATATTCATCATTTTTGCATTCCTCGTCCACATGAATCTCAGTGCTTCTATCATGCACACCATTCCCATCAAGATCCCTACTATACTCTCCATCTTCACTGTGTCAAATCCACACATGGTATTTAATTTAATCCTAAACCTACGACAAATTGTATGATCTCTAATGATTTCAACACCGTTGACCACCTTCACATTATTACAATCAACACAAGGACTGTAAAGGCAATCGCCACTCATTTTGCACTGATTAGATAAAGCCCTCTTGCAAAACTCTTGAACCCTATTAAAGAATTCCAATGTATTATGTCTATCATACATCCAACCACGATCCTTCTCCATTTAGTAAATTGTCTCTAAACATATATAGCAACATATTATGAATAATGTATAATTGTTACATATTTTATGTAAATCAACTTCAAGTACATACACACCGTGAATATACCATTCATATAGTGAAAAAATGCATATTTCCAAAGGGTTCTTATCACTCCAACCTAACCCATCCTTGGATGTCTACTCTCACTAGTGAATGTATGTCAACTTTCCAATTTTAAGAAAAATCTGGCAACATTTCCCCCTAGTTCTCCAAGTACACGATGTAGACAATTACTTACCCACATATGTACCCAGAGAACATGGTGAGGAAATGGTAAGTCAAGATATTCCTTAAAATCGAAAAGAATACATACATTCACCATCTAAGTGAGAGTAACAGTCTCAACTGGGGATTATTCAAGACTTTCTCCTAATGAAAAAGCCTTGAACGGGTATCTAGGCATATGAGGTTGCAAGCATTCTACATATACATATATATAGTGGCATATACTTGTCATTAAACAATATACAAGTTGTAATAACATGAAAAAACTTTAATTAACTAGACAAAGAGAAATCAATATACCTTAGTAAAGTTTATTTAATTCATACTAATATATCAAAGTGCAATGAATGTACACTTTCTAACTTCCCACTTGAGCTATATTTGTAGTCTTCAAGCTACATGCCTACATACACTTGTGCTTCAAATATATATGAATCTATAAAATAAATAAACAAAAGTTAGTAATTAATTAGTACGTATACATACATTGCTAAAGTATAACACATCATTCATGAAACTAACAATTGCTAAACAATTCATTCACTAATTTGTAAAACAATTGCTAATCATTAATACATACAAAATTAGAAATTTGGAAAACACTTCTAGAAAATAGCCAAATTACGACGGACTGGTTCCGACGGACACATTATTCCGTTGGAAAAATCGAAATTTCCGACGGATTTTAATCCCGTCGGAAATTTCCGACGAATTCTACAAATCCATCTAAAATCCATCGGAATATATGTGCTTTCCGAAGGATATTTTCGTCGGAAATTACTTTTCCGACGGATTTATAGTCCGTAAGAAAATAATTTAAAAAAAAATAAACTTCTAGAAACCCTAACACCCATACTTTATTTCTGCCTCTTCTCCCTTTGTCCTTCTCTTTGTCTTTCCTCTTATGTCTCCTCTCCTTCTCCTTCCTCTTCTTTCTCATTCTCCTGCCCATTCTATCTCTCTCGTTCTCCTTCTATTCTCTCCTCTCCTCTTCTTTCTGTCTTGTTCTCCTGCTTCTTCTCTCTCGTTCTTCTTCTCTATATGTCCTTTACATTCCCCTTTTTCGACCACCTCAAATTGCCCACCATCGCCACTAACATCAACAACAACACCGTCATCAACAACACCCTCACCTGCATCAACATCAACAACAATTTTCATCTTTTTTCGCGCTTTCTCTCTCTTCTCATGCTGAAATTAAAGGTTTTTAGGTCAAATTCGACCATGAAAACTCTAGATCGAGTTTTCATGGTCGAATTTGACCTCTTAAACCCAATTTCGAGGTTATGTGTGGTCTAATTAAGGTATGTATTTCGTTTTTTTTTCAATTTTGATTTTATTTTGTTGTTTCATTGGATTTTTTTTTACAATTTAAGGTGGTGGCCTGGTGGGTGGTAGCTGTTTGACGAAGATCGCGTTTAGGGGGTTGCGTTAGGATTTTATTTTTTTTCTTTATTTTTTTTTTAATTTCTGGGTTGTGATGATTTTTGGTGGTGACAGTGGTGATTTTAGGCGGGTGGTGGGGTGGTAGATCTGGTTAGGTGGCTGTGGCGGTGGTGGTTGTAGGTGGGTAGTGGGGTGGTGGATCTGGTGTAGGTGGCTGGTGGGTAGGGTTCTGGTGTTGGTGGTGCAACGGGCTAGTGTGGGCTGGTGATACGGTTGGTGGGGTAAGGTGTGGGTCTGGTGACTTGGTGTGGGTTTGGCTAGTTGTGTGAGGCGGGAGTAGGTGGTGTGGGATGACGGCTTGCGGTGGTACGGGGTGGCGATGTGCGTTTTTTCTTAAGCATTTTCAGACGGAAATTCCGTCAGGCATTTACGACGGAATTCAAGTCTGTTGGAATTTTCCGACGGACTTTGCCGGGCTTGAAAATCACTTCCAACGGACTTAATTCGGTCGGAAAACCCGTTTCCGACGGATATTCGAAAACGGGTTTTCCGTCGGAAAAGGGTGTTTTTCCGACAACCGGTTACTCGGAATTTTCGTTGAAAATGGGTTCCGACGAAAAATTTCCGTCGCAATTAGCCTGTTTTCTAGTAGTGAAATAGCATAAATTTTTAAAGCTTAATTCAACCAAGTTATATTTGACATACAAAAATTCAGCCGAGTAACTAGGTTACTAATCTAGTAATCTCTAATTCATTCAAAATTACCCATAAAAACAACCTAATATATCCAAAATTGAGGTTAAATTATATTCAAACACTAACTTTAATTTGCTCCTATGCCCAACAATTGTTCAAAATGCAAAAGAAAATAATTGTTCAAAATGCCTAACAAATTTAACACTAACCCTAGATGGAAGAGGTGAAGGAATACCTTAATTGGAGGTGGAAAGGGAGAAAAGTTGGACGCAGCGGCCGTTGGAGGTGATAGGGCAGGTGACGGCAGTGGTGGAGGCGGTGCGCGCAAGTGACTGTGAAGAGGAGGGAACCACGAAGAGAAAGGTGCTGGAGGTGGTGCGCGTAGGTGTTGGAGGGTGGTTCGCTCAGCCTTTTGCGGTGGCTGGTGGCTTACCTCGAGGCTGTGGCGTGGTGGCGCGGCTATGGTGGAGAACTTGGGGTTGTCGTCGCTGGTAAGAGGAGAATGAAGAGGGAAAGGAAGAGGCGGCTATGGTGGATGCATTTCGAGGCATATCGCGCAGTGGTGCAGTGGAGGGGGTTCTGAGGTAGGTCGCGCAGTGGTGGCGTCAGTGGTTGTGGGGTTTCGTAGAGGCGCGATGTGAAGTGAGAAAGAGTGAAGTGAAGTGAGAAAGAGAAAGAAGACTAAGAGAAAGAGCAGGGAGCTAGCGTGGTGCGATTTTTCGCACCGGTTCAGTTTGAACCGGTGCCAATAACCTTTCCTCAAAATCCCGGCCGCCCATTTTTTCGTCATCGGTTTTTAAAAACCGGTGAGCATTACTCGGTGCTAAAATACAATTTTCGGATATGTGATATCGGAAAATATATGTGTGATATATTTTCCGTATTAATCTATTAGGAGAATAATATATTTATCTTTATTTATGTAAACATATTAGTAAGAAAATATATCTTTAGGTTTATAGGTAGGTTAGTATATCTTTTAGAAATATTATTTCCTATCCTATGAGCGTGTTTTGTATAAATACTTTACTTATCGATGAATAATAAACAAGCTGTTCTATTCTATTTCTTCTCCCTAATTTGTCAAATTAGGTTATTCCTATTCCGCTGACATCCAAATATGGTTTCCGTGGACAACAAAGACACTCCTCGTCAGTGGCGGAGCCAGGATTTTCAACTTGGGGGGACAAAATGCTTAACTTACGAAAAGCTTAACAAAAAATAAAAACAAAAAAAAAACTCACACACAAATTGGTTAATACTTAATATTAAAATTTCAAAATACAAATATATACTTAGTCATACAATTCAAAATGATGAAAAAAATTACATAAACATTACATTAAAATTACAAGTTCATTCTTCGAGTCTTCATACTTTGAAATCGATCAATAATCTTTTCGTCGGAAACTCGTAAGAAGACATCCTTCTCAATAAAAGTGACCAAACAATCATTCATAAGTTGATCACCCATGCTATTTCGCAACTTGTTTTTGACACATGTCATTGCAGAAAACACTCTTTCAACACTTGCCGTGGCAACGGGAAGAATCAACATCAACTTGATAAGCAAATGAATAAGAGGAAAAGTCTTATGCTTATTGGTTTTAACAAGCATCATAGAAAGAGAATTAAGGTCATTTAAACCTTGAAATCTTTCATCATTTAGCATATTCTCCATGAATACATCAAGTTGATATTCAAGAGCCATCAAATCAAAGCTTGAAAATTCTTCGGGATAAAAAGAGGCAAGTTTAAGTACCTTATCTTTATCAAAGGATGAGAAGTTATCTTTAGGACTTAAACAAGCCATACATAATAGTAACTCCATATTCCTCTCATTAAATCGTTCATCAAGTTCTTGAAGATGCAAATCAATTAGTCTTAAGAAAATTCCAACCCGAAAATGATGTTCATTTGTTGCTTCTTCAACAAAACGTCTTGATCTTCCATGAGGAACATAAAGAGAATCCATAGTGGGAATAACAACACCATGTTTAGTGCAAAATGAAGTTACCTTGTTTAAGAGAGTATCCCATCCTCGCTCCCTCATTTTTTGCAACACCGTTTTTGTATAAGTGACAAGTTCCATGGCATTTACAATATCTTGCTCCTTTCTTTGCAAAGCAACACACAAATCATTAGTGTATCCAAAAATAGTCAACATCAAGTGAGCAACAAAAATAAAGTCAAATGACTCTAATTGTCCTAAAACAATTTGAGCTTTGAACTTATCTTCCGATGCACCATGCTTCCCAATTTGTACAAGCACCTTAATAATTGTAGGAAATAAGAGGATGGCATTTAAAAGTGACTTGTAATGAGAACTCCAACGAGTATCCCCGGGCCTACTCAAACCAAGTTCTTGATTTAAACCCGATCCACTCACAATATCCCCAACATCCAAGGCTCGAGCAACTTCTTGAGCTTGATCTTGACGAATCATTTCTCTTCTCTTGCAAGAAACTCCAACCACATTCAACAAATTTCCAAGTATCTCGAAAAGCCAACCACAACTATCATTCTTTTTAGCAACGGCAACTAATGTTAGTTGAAGTTGATGAGCAAAACAATGTATATAGTAGGCACTTGGAGTATCATTCATAATCAAAGTCTTAAGGCCATTTATTTCACCCTTCATGTTGCTAGCTCCATCATACCCTTGCCCTCTTATCATAGATGGGCTCAATGAATGTTCAACAAGTAAAGACATGATTGCATCTTTAAGAGTTAAAGCGGTAGTATTAGCAACATGAACAATGCCTAAAAATCGCTCCATTACCTTTCCACTATCTCTATCAACAAAACGCAAAACAAGAGCTAGTTGTTCTTTTTGGGACACATCACTTGACTCATCGGCCAATATAGCAAAGTAATCATCACCAACTTCTTCTATTATGCACCTAGTTGTTTCTTTGGCACAACAGTTAATAATGTCCTTTTGAATAGGAGGGGAAGTCATTTGACAATTTTTAGGTGCATTTTCAAGAGTATGTATCCTTACTTCCTCAACCTTTTCTCCTAACCACTTCAAAAGCTCAAGGAAATTACCCCTATTATATGACTCCCCACTTTCATCATGTCCACGAAATGCCAAACCTTGCCCCAAAAGAAATCTTAAACAAGATAAAGATGCTTTCAAGCGGATAAAATATTCACTTTTAATCACATCACTTGCATTGTCAATCACATTCAAGATTGATTTCTTTTTTTCATCTCTTAAATTCACATATTTCTCATAAGCAAGATTATGAGCACTTTTAATTCCACCAACATGCTTCTCAAATCTTTCCGGTTTATTCCATGCCCTAAACCCTCCATCAACAAATGCATCACCCCCCGGTTTAATACCAACTTCATTCTTGAACAAGTAACATACAAAACAAAATGCAGCATCTTTTTCAATACTATATTCAAGCCAATCCCATTTGTTGAACCAATGAACACTAAAGCGACGCAAACCAGACACTTGTCTTGTAGGGAAGACATGAGTTTTTGGTTGGCAAGGTTTTTTAAGAATATAACCCCTCCTAACAGCATTTCGTTCATTTGCGGGGTAATCCATAATGTTTATTCTTTTTCCCGGATCATGAGGAAGAAGTTCAACATCATACACCAAATCTTCCTCTAATGGTACATTACTATTACTTGAACCACCCATTTCCATACTATTTTCTTGACTTTGAGGGGAGCTAACTGAAGGTGAGTTATTGGACTCATTTTCATTGAGTCTCGTTCTTTTAAACAAGAATTGTCGAAGATCGGGTTGTTTAGTTGCCTTTGATTTGTTTGAATTTGGTGAATCTTTTGATATTTCCTAGTTAAATTGAAAATTATATATCAATTTCCACAAGACCACAATCCACATCATTACATAATAACAAAACCTAAGAGGCTAAGATTTTAAATTTCTAATTCAACTACACATTTCAATAATTTACAATAATTAATAATTTAAATTCACATTTCACAAAAACAACCAAAAACTCTAACAGGGGAAACAATCAAACAAATATAAATCAATAATCATTTATCAATTCAAATTATTCAATAATCAATACCCACAAGGCCACAAATGACAAATTCACAATAAAAATATAAACAATTAAACATTTAAACAAGTAATAAAAATATGAAATTCAGAATTTCAGATTTACTGTAAATTTAAACAATTAAACATTTAAACAACAAAACAAGTAATCAATTATTCAATTAATCATACATTCATTGATTCATACCTCCATTGAAATCCAGATTTACAGCAAATGTGTTATGCTTATGCATATGAGTATATGACGAAGTCACGCTGTCACGAAGACACGAAGTCACGAAGGACGAAGGCTCAAGGGCGGCTGTTGAACCTCGTCACTGCTGCGAACTGCCGGCGAACGGTGGACGGCGTCACGACGAGCCGGCTAGGCGATTGACGAAGTCACGAAGACACGAAGGACGAAGGCTCAAGGGCGGCTGTTGAACCTCGTCACTGCTGCGAACTGCCGGCGAACGGTGGACGGCGTCACGGCGAGCCGGCTAGGCGACAGGCGAGGGCGAATCGAAGAGAGAGAAATTGAAAATTGAAAAACTTAGGGTTTGGCTGGCTGGCAAATGTCGCAACAGAGCACTGTAAATCTGTAATTGCATTTTTTTTTTTAAATTTTTTTTTTTTTTAAATTTTTTTTTTTGAAAATGGGGGGACAAGTGTCCCCACATGTCCCCTTCTAGCTCCGCCCATGCTCCTCGTATGTGTTTTCATTTTCATACCCTTGTATGCTATTCAATTATTCGCAATTTTGTTTTTTCTGGGAAATTTTCAATGTATTTATCTACTATATATATGCCTCAATTTTAACTTGTCGCATATTGTTTATAGTATCTTATAGTTGCACTTTCAAGATATAATGATATATAAATAATCTCAATATAATTAGGGATCTCCTTTCGAGTCACGAGCCCGATGCAATACATTGCGTTAGCATATATATATAATTATATATGGAGTATTATATATATATGTCGCTTATTAACGAGATTATTTAATTGGTTTCAGCTGTAACTTTGCAGTACTTTGTCCTGTTGAAGCTGGAAGTCATCTTACAAAATCGTGAATCCGGTGGAGATGTAGTGTCTTTGTTTCATAAAGTGATGAAAGATGTTGGCTGGTATTTACATATTTACACATTGTCTTCATACTTTTGCTTTTCTATACATCTATCCTCCCATATACCTCATCCGTCCTTTATTTACTTGCATCGTTTGTGTATGTGTCACTATTCACACATGACCAAACAAAAATTGTGCCTTACATGGGTTTATGTGCAACATTTACTAATAACGGAAGCTACGCTTTATGTACAACAAATGTTTTCATTCCTTTATTTTTAAGTTGTCTCTCTCATCACATGCATGATGCCTATGCGTCTCTATATTTCTCCCTTCGTTTAACACTCACTAACAAAATTTGCATAAGCGTATGTGTTGAGGTCTTTGTTGCACATAAATGAAACAGAGAGTATATGAAATAGGTAAAACAAAGAAAGAGATAAGAATTTACAAAAGATCCTTCTTATATTATTCTCAGTGTTATCATTAGGGTATTAATTTATATTTGTAGCTTATCACTTTCAGTTTTAATTAATTGGTTTTTTTTAGCACAATAACATCTGCGCATAAATAATGTCAACGCCAAATTTGTTAGTTCTCGCTCTACACATACCGGCAGGAGCGCACATAGCGGCCAAGCCACTAGTCGGTTATAAATGCAACATTGAGTTTCCAGCTAGTTTGCTACCTTATTATCAGTAAGAAGTATAAAATAATTTGTAGTACGCATGAGGAAACTACTCTACCTGCCTTGAGGGACTGTCGAGCTGCTCGTGAGGTTTGGCGTCAGGTGGGGGGCCCTGCTTCTTCCAAGGTACCTTACAGCAATGGATTATAAAGAACATAAAAGTGCAGGTTTATCATGATTTATCTCCGGAGGTTTGTCCTACTTACTTCACTACTGCCATTTGGTGGATATGGAGGTGGAGAAACAACTTGGTCTTTGATAGAGCTCAAGACAATCCAATTGATATAAATCAGTTTTTAATTGCGAGATTTGAAGAGGTTTGGCGTGTTCTGGGGGATGATATCCATGGCTCATAGCAAGTTTCACGTGTTAGAAGTGAAACATATATCAAGTGGAAAGCACCCCCAGTAGGATGGCTTGCCTTGGACACTGATAGTGCAGCCAGAGGTGCTCCTGGTCCAGCTGGTGGAGGAGGGCTGGTGCGTGACTGTACAGGTAAGATGCTTCATGCTTTTGCAATTAAAATTGGTGATTGTAACGCTTTCATAACTGAGCTGAAAGCAATTGAGTATGGACTTCAATTGGCTAAACGCATGAGAGCAGCAAAAGTCCAAGTTCAGCTTGATAGTCAGTTGGTAGTCCTAGCACTTACTAATGAGGAAACTGCAAGAGGACATGGGTATCATATTATTAGAAGTTGCAAGCAGCTACTCAAGGAAAATTCATGGGAAGTCAAGGTTCAACATATTTATCGTGAAGCTAATAGGGCCGCGGATTGGCTTGCAAATAAAGGCGTCTCCCAGAACAACAATATCGAGTTGATTCAATTCCCTCCTATAGAATTAGGACGTATATTGCACGATGATATTGTAGGGGTGGCCTTGCCACGTTTAATTCCTGTTTAGTTTGTTTTAGTCTTCGTTTCCGGGGCTTGGCCCCTCGTTTGCATCAAAAAAAAAAAATCAATATCTTTAATCTTGGAAATATATTTTCATAATTGATTCTTCAAAATTTTTGTTTCATGTATCTGCATTAAACATCTACAAAAATTGTTACTCCCTCCGTCCCTTTTTTACATTCCTGGTTACTATTTTGGGTATTCCAAAATTACATTCCTCCTTTCTCTTTTTAGTAATTTTTTTTCCAAATATCCTAAATCAACTTTCTTTTTCTGTTGTATAGTTAATGCTTTCTCACTCATACTTTCCTAATCTCACTCATAATTTTTCAGAATCCTTGTGCCTAATTTAAATGAATATGATTGGTTAAAAAATTTCAATTAGGAGCATGTGATTGATCTTTTTTTTTTTTTTTTTTTTTTTTTTTTTTTTTTTTTTTTGCAAAGGATTGATAACATGTCATGATTAATCATTAATCTATGTTTGTTTTACTCAAAAACATTATTTAATGTTTTGTACTTTCCATTGCAATATCTCATTATTATTATTTATCTTATTCATTCCTCCTTAATTCTTGTGTAAATTTACAAACATGAATGTAATTTAGGGACGGAGGGAGTATTTTACAACTTTACATTAATTTATCCATAACAATTTCTTCAAATTTCATTAATTTATCCTTATAAAATGTTTTATAAAAATTAACTTATCTATCCATATTCCATATCAATTTCATTACTAATAGACTTTAGATTCTATATAAACTTAAGGAGGAATTATATTGGTATTTTCATTGGCTTCAAAAAAAAAAAAAAAAAAAATTGGTATTTTCATAAATAACTCCACTATAAAAAGTTACAAGACTATGATTTTTTTTTTTTTTACTCCGTATAGTCTATCTCTCTGTCTTCCACCTCGTGGCATTTGTTATCTTACTTTCTCTCCAAAATTTGTTGTAAATTTGTATTATAATTTCTCAGATTATGTTTTCTTGCCAATTGATTTTGTTATTTTGGTTGATTTTGTTTGATCAGCTGATTTCTTGGCAAGTTGCTCGCAAACCCTAAATCCCCAAATTGAACCGCAAAGGTAATCGTTTTGTAATTTGTCAATAAATTGATTGCATAAGTTTGTAATATCTTTTTCGCGCATCATGTATCGATGTTCTTTTTAGGGCAATTTAATTCATTCTTTGTATTCTGTATTGATCAATTCAATTGATTGAATTGCTTTCTCTTTTGAATCTAACCAGGTTATTCCTTCCAAATATGGCTTCCCTGGATAACAAAGACACTCCTCGTATGTGTTTTCATTTTCAATTATTCGCAGTTTTGATTTTCTGGGAAATTTTCATTCTGCTATGCCTCAATTTTAACTTGTCGGATATTGTTTACAGTATCTTATAGTTGCACTTTCAAGATATAATGATATAGGGATGGCAGTGGGTCGGGTTAAATGGGTATAAAATGTGTACCCGCCATGGGTGAATGAGCGGGTATGGATTTTAGAGTAGACTCGCCCCATATCCGCCCTACCCCGTACCCATCTTATACCCGCACCATATTTCTTTTAAAAGAGTTTATAATTTATGAAACTTGATACCCTCTAAGACCCAATAATGAAAGTCCCAATTTTCTTAACCTAATTTGATATGATTTTCATTAATGTGATACAATAGAGCATCATGGCAATGGGTTTGGGACGATTTTGGGGTGAGTATGAGGTGGGTATAATATCCAAGTGGGTGATGGGGCGGGGATGGATCCTATCTGTACCCGGTGGGGCGGGTATGGATATGGATATTGTACCCGCCACGGGTGGTGGGGCGTGGATGGGTATAAGATTTTTAGGCGGGTATGGGTATGGAGGTACCATCATCCGCATCCGACCCGCCCCATTGCCAACCCTATAATGATATGTATAAATAATCTCAGTATAATTAGGATTCTCCTTTCGAGTCACGAGTCAATTCGTGTACTTGGGCTGGGGGAAGAGCATGGCCTTTTGAATTTTTACAATTTTGTGAATTGTGTATTACTTCCTGGCTTAGTGATTGTTGACTGAATGATCTATATACCCTTTTTTTCATTAATGTTTTATAGAAAGATCAACCATTATGTCACTTAGCTTTCAACCATTATGTCGCTTAGCTTAACGAGATTATTTGATTGGTTTCAGCTGCGAAGAAGATGAAGCTTGAAGAGAAAATCCCTAATCCCAAAGATGGCAAGTCTCACTCTTTTTACCAATTTATCATCCTCTGCATTAATGTTTCTGCTCTTTACCTTGGTTATTCCTGCAGCTGATCTTATTTTTGTGCATAATCGGTTTTTTTTTTATTTATTTATTTATTGGCAGGAACTAATGAAAATCTCGAGTACCCTAAACCCAAAGATGTAATGTTGTTATTGTTTGTGCTCATCATTTTGTGGCTTCTATTTGAGTTTTGCAATCAGTCCTTTAAAACAGGAACTAAAAGCATTCTACTTGTAACTTTGCAGTACTTTGTCCTGCTGAAGCTGGAAGTCATCTTACAAAATCGTGAATCCGGTGGAGATGTAATGTCTTTGTTTCATAAAGTGATGAAAGATGCTGGCTGGTATTTACATTTACACATTGTTTCATACTTTTGCTTTTTTATACATCTATCCTCCCATATACCTCATCCGTCCTTTATTTACTTGCATCGTTTGTGTATGTGTCACTATTCACACATGACCAAACAAAGATTGTGCCTTACATGGGTAGAAAACCGTAGTCATTTATAATCTTGTTAGATTCGTCTCAATGTTGACATTTTAAAATTTATCATTGAGGCAAGTAATAAAGTATGGAGTAAGTTATATATGTGTGTTGTGTTTACTTATATGGCCTGGTTTGAATTTTGTTGCAGCTCTGAATCCCAGATAACGCCACCCCATACCTCCTATAACTTTTTTGCACGCCTTACTGAAGAGGAAGCTAATAAGCTGGCTGGTCAGTTCATAACTTCCCTTGTATTTTATGGCAAGCATAGCATACTGTTTGTTTGCTAAAGTGTGGTTTTGTTACATGATTTCATTTTATTCGCAGGTTTGGATTCTGTGAAAAAAGTGAGGCCGAAGGTTAATTCCCGTTGGTTTTCGGAATTCTTGTGATTGTGGATCGATGTTCGTGTTAAGTCACATTCCTACTGTAATAAGAGTATTACAAAATAGGTTGGGGGGTTATATTAGGGCAGCTGAGTTGTGGCCTACTGGCTGTGTAGTGTGATTTATCCTCGACGATCATTTGCAATCACTGGTTGTAATTTGACTTAACCTGGTTTGTTTATGCTTCTTGTTGTAACTAAATATGATTACTTTTTAAGTCGCATCCCCGTTTCATACCGCATGAATAATATTACTATTATGTTTATCAAGCTATATTTTCTCGAAATTTTTTGAATTATTGAATGGTTCGATCTAGCTTTATAGAAATGTCGACAAAATTGTTATAAAATACTCACAAATTACATGCATGTGATGATTTGGGGCATCGCTAAGCTACTTCAATTTATGTGCAACATTTACTGTTAACGGAAGCTACACTTTATGTACAACAAATATTTTCATTTCTATAATTTTTAAGTTGTTCTCTCTCATCACATGCATGATGCCTATGTGTCTTTATATTGCACAAGAGTATGTGTTCAAGTTTTTGTTGCACATAATATAAAACGGAGAGTATATGAAATAGGTTAAACAAAGAAAGAGATAAGAATTCACCGCATATTATTCTTAGTGTTATCATTAGTGTATTAATTTATATTTGTAGCTTATCACTTTCAATTCTAATTAATTGGTTTTTTTAGCACAATAACATCTGCGCATAAACAATGTCAGCGCCAAATTTGTCGGCAGCGCGCACGTAGCGGCCAAGCCACTAGTCGGTTATAAATGCAACATTGAGTTTCCAGCTAGTCTGCTACCTTATTATCAGTAAAAAGTATAAAAGAATGACTTCTGATATAGTTAGTATCAAAGAATGACTTCAAACATTTACTTCGTACTATATAAATAGTATCTTAGATCATAGGGAGCATTAATCACAATTGCCATTGTCTAGAATCTCACATAACTTAAGGATTCTTAAGAAATTGAATATGCTAAAAATCTTAACAAAATTATTCTTCCTCATTTTCATTTGATAATTACTTATGTTGTAATAATATGAGTTTGATAACTGCTTATAAACAACAGTACCTGCTAAGCTGCATGGTTAGTCTTTGTGAATAATAGAAAATCGGTCATTATAATGTGGGATGGAGAGTCTACTAGACCCGGCCAAGCACCGCCTTCGATTTCCATAGAAGAAATGATCGAGCAGAATGTTGGTCGCATAAACATGACACAAGTCTTACAAGCCCTCCTCGCATCACTACCTGCCTTTTTCGACAGTCAGCAAACATACATGAGTATATTTGCTCATGCTCAACCAACATGGCATTGCACAAGTAAGCATAATAATACCTCTTGTATCTCTAATGAGTCTAACATATGCACCCTTTCGAGGAACGAATGGGCTTGGGATAGTAGCAACGACGTGCATAGCCATACCTCAATCATATCACAGTGGGATCTCGAGTGTGCTAGTCCCTTCATCACCGGCCTCCCTACAACTTGCTACTTTGTCGGATGTCTAATAGGCGGGTTGGTTCTAGCCACACTCGGTGATTCATCATTAGGCCGAAAAAACCTCCTTTGCCTATCTTCATTGGTAATGTCCCTTGCTGCACTAGCATCTGCATTTTCTTCCAATATTTGGGTGTATTCGGTTTTCCGTTTCTTAAGTGGGGCGGGTCGTGCTCCAATTGCAGTTTGTGCAATGGTTTTGATGACTGAAAGAGTAGGCAAAAGATGGCGGTCACAATTTGTTATGGTATTTTTTATTCACTTCTCATTTGGAATCTTGGCACTAACTGGCGTTGCCTATTTAACAAGGTCCTCGTCCTGGAGGACCTTGTATTTAGGCATTTCGATTCCAGGAATTATTTGTTCCGTATTATGTTATTTTTTCGTGTATGAGTCCCCTAGATGGTTGTTCATGCAAGGGCGAGAAAAGGAATCCATGACCATCTTAAGGAAATTAGGAACAACAACTCAAGTTGACTCGGCCTCGATTACTATCACCAATACTAATACGACGCCCACCAACACTAGCCCCTTTGCAACACTTAAGATTTTAATCGAGAAAAAATGGGCTCTACAACGATTGTTGGCGTCTATGGTCTTATCATTTGGGGTCGGTCTTATGTACTTTGTCATGTTTTTAGGTGTTGGTAATTTGGGTTTTAATATCTACTTAACTTCGACATTTAGTGCATTGTTGTCCTTAGCCTCGTATTTACTTACTTTCCTTTTTTGGATCCAAAGATGCAATAGACGTGCCTCGTTGCTCGGGTTTTGTACCATAAGTGGTGCAACTAGCATAACATTTTCCATAATAGGAAAACATAGTCATGAGGGATTATTTATCGCGTTAGAGCTTGTGTCTTTATTTTGTGCATGTATGGCGTACAACATAGTGTTGATGTATGTTATAGAGCTATTTCCCACTTGTATCAGAAATTCAGCCTCATCACTAGTACGGCAGACAATGTTTTTAGGCTCGGTTTTCGACCCCGTGTTGATCTTATCCGGGAGGCGAAACATGGTTTATAGCTATAGGGTGTTTGGTATCACAATGCTTCTTTGTGGTTTCCTAGTTATTTTCTTACCTGAGACAAGAGGTGAGGTGCTTTGTGATACCATGGAGGAACAAGAGACTAGGGATAGAATAAATGTGAAATAACTAAATAAGTGTTGTGTAACAATTATATAATTATCAGATCAACCGACAATGAAGAAGCTAAGGAAATATTTACTTTTAGTGTTTTTTTAATCAAAGCAATACTTTGACTTTTAATTTTATTTTTTTTGAAGTTTTTTTTGAAGTTTTTTGACTTTTAATTTCTATTATTGTATATTTATTTTCTTTTTTTTTAATTGATATGTTTAAACTTTTGACTCTGTTTACAACTTTTAGTTTATACTTCTTCCGTTTCTTTTTAGTTGACACATTTTTTTAGTCACGTTCACCAATACACAAATTTAATCGTTAATATTTTTAATTATTGGTAAACAAAATTTATTAAAAAAATGATATTTTGAAAATATATATTGTGACGAATCTAACAAGATCCTACTTGACTATATTTTTCTTCACATAAAAATCACAAAAAATGGTCAAAAGGAGGTGTGTGAATAGTGCTAAAGTCATTAATGGAGGAGAGACCTCCCTAACTTTATGTTGTATTTTGTAAACTTATTTTAATCTAATTTCGCCCCTAGCTTTGCATAAAAAAAAAAAAACGTGTCAACTAATAAAAAACGGTGGTAGTATAATTTTTGTGATTCACAATTTCGATAAAACATAGTCTATAGAAAATCTTGTCAAATTCATTTTAATGCATAATTTCATAATATTAATCTATATACTTGTATAATGGTATTTACTTATTGATAATTAGAAAAATAATTTATCTTTAAATTATATGTTGACAAACGTAATAAAAAAATTAACGTGCCAACTATAAAAATGAATGGGCTAATAATATCCCCAAATTTTATTTTCGTGGAAATGAGTTAGATTGTAGTTTCAAAGTAAGCCCTAATTCTTTCCCCATTTGCTTGAAATTGGTGTGTCAACTAAAAAAATGGATGGGGTACTTTGAACCCCCCCTCCCTTTTTTTTTTTTTTGTTTTTTTTTTTTTTTTTTTTTTTTTTTTTTTAAAACCAGTAAGCATGATTATATTAAATCAATCTCCGCCAAAGCTTGAAGGAATTGGGATTCGTAGCCCATCGAGCAACTGAGTGAGCTAGAGAATTCCCTCCTCGTTTAACATGCTTACATTGAAAGAAAGTAAACAAAGAACTCATTCTATATATGTCTTCAAAGAGTAGAAAAATAGGAGCAGCACCTTTCTTTCTCGTCTGAATTGTCCGAGCTACTTGCAGCGCATCGCACTCTAAGATCACCTCCTCATACCCCATTCTTCGACCAAGCTCCACCCCAAATCTAGCAGCTCCCGCTTCAGCCATTTCTGGGCCCCACCTAGCCTCAAGATGCTTAACAGCAGCCACTAGAATCTGACCCCAGCCTCTCTGATCACGTCACCAAAGCTAATACCACAACCTTGCTGAACATGGGCGTCAACATTTATCTTCACACGACCACCAGGAGGAGGACTCCATGAATTTCTCAAGGCAGGAGCTGCCCCATTGCTTGATGGCAGCACCTTTACATTATAAGCACAATAGTCATAGAACAATTTCACGAATCCAACCCCCATCCTTACTGCATCAATACCAACAGACCCCTCAAAAATGTGCGTATTTCTGCAATGCCATATAGCCCATGATAAGGACGCAAAGATACTCAGCCTTTCCTTGCTCACCTTACCAGCCATCCACACCAATCTATTCGCAAAAGAGCTAGTCGGAGCATCAGCAATGAGGTCCCCAAAGTCACTACTATTCCACACCCTCAATGCGTAAGTACATTCAAACAACGAGTGTATAATCGATTCCACATCACTACCACAAATAGGACACCTACTAGAATCTCTAATATGGCGTCTATGCAACTCACTCATAACAGACAAGGATCCCTTACCTGCTCTCCACAAAAAATGGTTGAGTTTGGGTGGCCCCCAACACTCCAAATAATTTTCCACAGTGAGTTTGTGCTATCTCCATGGAATAAATCCCCAGCTCTTAACCTGCCTAATCGACCCAACCAATAACCACTTTTCACAGAAAAAACACCATCATTTGTCGGACACCAAAAGCGAGAATCCCTTTGGGTAGTATGAGGGAGAGGGATTTCAAGAATAGACCTTCTATCCGATGCACTAAAGTTGGACTCCAACATCGAAACATCCCAACAATTTAAAGAACTATCAATTAGATCACTAACCTTTAAGTTCGGATTGCTTCCACTAGTAGGCAGAGGGACCCCCGGAGAACCAAAATTTAGCAGCCATGCATCCTCCCACACCTTAATAAGGGATCCATCACCAACCCGCCACCTTAACCCATCAAGTAGTAAATTCTTTGCACCCCAAATACTCCTCCAACTGTAGCTCGGATCGAATCCCCTTCTCGCCTCAATAAAATCAGAGTGCTTGAAATATCTTACCTTCAAAATGCAATGTAGCAACGACTTATCATCATTAATCAAGCGCCAACCCTGCTTAGCCAATAAAGCATGGTTAAAAACCCGTAAGTCCCTAAACCCCATGCCTCCTTTTGATTTCGGGAGGCAAAGATCATCCCACTTGTGCCAATGCATCTTCCTTTCCGCCCCATTCGACCCCCACCAAAACTTGGCTAGTAATGAATGAATTTCATCAATCAAACCATCGGGAATTTTAAAGATGCTCATCATGTAGGTGGGTATAGCTTGGGCCACCGCTTTGATCAAGATTTCCTTCCCCGGACGAGATAGCAATTTTTCTTTCCATCCTTGAAGTTTCTTCCATATTCGCTCCTTCAAACATGCAAAAATCAATTTTTTAGATTTCCCAATAATTGTCGGCAAACCCAAGTATTTTTCATTTCTATCAACCTCTCTAACGCCAAGGGTCGCAACAATATCACTTCTCCTTTCTGCAGTCACACATTTACTAAAAGTCACCTCCGTCTTGCTTAAATTGTGAGAGAATATTTGCCGTGCCTTTCTCATTAATCAGAAATCAATATGTAATACAAGCGTATGCTAGGTTAGGGTTAAGGCTACATTAGTAATTTACAAACTAATTATATACTAGATTATTTACATAATCTAACACTCCCCCGCAGTCAAAACGGGAGGACCACGAACGCTTAGACTGTCCCGAAAATCATCAAATAAAACCTTAGGCAGAACTTTGGTGAAGATGTCTGCAATCTGGTATCGGGAAGGCACATGTAGGACACGAACTTCGCCTTTTTGAACTTTTTCACGTACAAAGTGTACGTCCATCTCAATGTGTTTAGTGCGCTGATGTTGGACCGGATTACTAGAGAGATAAATTGCAATAACATTGTCACAATAAACCAATGTTGCTTTCGAAATAGGAAGAAATAGCTCGAGCAACAAATTGCGAACCCAGCAGGATTCGGAAACCACATTGGCAACCCCTCTGTACTCTGCTTCACAACTGGACTTAGACAAAGTGGGTTGGCGTTTCGAAGACCAAGAAATCAGATTATCACCAAGGTACACACAATACCCTGATGTAGAACGACGAGTATCCGGACACCCGCCCCAATCTGCATCCGTGTATGACACAAGAGAAGAAACAGAAGATTTATGTAATTGCAAACCAAAATACGTCGTACCTCTAATGTACCGTAGAATGCGTTTCAACGCATCCAATTGCTCAACAAGGGGTGAGTGCATAAATAAGCAGACCTGTTGAACTACATAAGAGATATCTGGTCGGGTGAATGTCAAGTACTGTAAAGCACCACAGAGGCGCCGATAAGAAGTAGGATCATCATACAGAGCACCCTCCTGAGTGCTCAATTTGCCTTTGGTGTCAACATGAGTAGGCGAAGGCTTGCAATTTTCCATTCCTGCTTTTTCCAAAATTTCCTCTGCATACTTCTTTTGAGATAAAAATAAACCATTTTTACCTCTCGTAACAGCAATACCCAAAAAATAACTCAGAGGACCCAAATCCTTCATGGCAAATTCAGAGTTGAGCCGAGAAATAATATGTCGTCGGAGAGAGTCCGACAAAGCAGTAAGCACAATATCGTCAACATATAGAAGTATGTAAGCAGTATCATTACCATGGCGATAGATGAACAAAGAGGTATCAGATTTGCTATTAGCAAAACCAATAGTAGCCACAAAATCTGCAAAACGTTTGTACCACGCACGGGGTGCCTGTTTCAGACCATATAGTGACTTCTCTAATAAACAAACATGATCAGGTTTATCAGGATCTTTAAATCCCAAAGTTTGATACATGTAAAACGTTTCATTCAAATGACCATGTAAGAAAGCATTTTTCACGTCCAACTGATGAATTGGCCAAGACTTAGCCAAAGCAATGCTAAGAACCACTCGGATAGTAGCCGGTTTTACAACCGGGCTAAAAGTTTCATCACAATCAATACCCTCCCTTTGAGTTTTACCATCACCAACCAAGCAAGCTTTATGTCTCTCAAAAGAGCCATCAGAATTCGTTTTGTGCCGAAAAATCCATAAAGAGCGAATAATATTCACATTATTCGGTCGGGGAACTAATTTCCAAGTACCATTTTCAATAAGAGCATTATATTATTCCTGCATAGCAAATTTCCAATTATGGTCACGAAGAGCATGGACCGGGTTTTTGGGAATAGGAGATATGGAGGTAGAAATGTGATGTGCTTGATCGGAGTAGTTTGGATTTGGCTTGAAAATTCCGTGTTTGCTACGGGTGGTCATGGAATGAGGTTGGTGTAAGGAGGGAGTTGGAGGGGGATGAAGAGTAGGAGTAGGAGAGGAAGGCTGCCCCGTCTCACCATACATGGGCTCGTCCACACCACCGCCCGCGTTTGACCCGGCGGGGCTAGCAGGAGGTGGTCGAAGACCACGCTGCTGAGCAGTGGGGGGCGTGGAAGGTATAGGAGAGGGGCAGCGAGAGTGGAGGTGTTGCTGTGGCAACACGGGTAGGGGACTCCGCAACTGGGTTGCGGCAGAAGGGGGTATACCGCAGCCTAGTTGCGGAGTGTGCTGTATGGCAGCATCTAGGTGGCTGGGCTGCGGGTGTGTGGTAGTAGAGGGACGTGCACGAGGCAGGGGTGAGGAAAGAAGTTGCTGCTGCACAATGGGGATATCAAGAAGGCTCAATTCACTACCCAAAAAGTCATATGTATGAGGTTCCGGAGTATGAACTTTTGAAAAGGAAAAAACCGACTCATCAAACCATACATGTCTAGCTATAATAATCTTCCGACTCGACATATCAAAACATTTATACCCTCGATGATTAGACGGATATCCTAGAAAGACACAAGGACTACTTCGAGCTTGAAGTTTGTGAATTTTAGAGGATGGAGAGAGGGGATAACATAGACAACCAAACACCCTAAGATGAGAGTAGTCGGGAATCTTTTGATAGAGAACTTGAGTAGGTGATTTATAGGTTAGAATTTTTGATGGTAAGATATTATGGAGATAGGTAGCCATTTCAAGAGCATGATGCCAAAAAGAAGGAGGTATTGAAGCATGACATAGAAGAGTTCGAACAATATTATTGATTGTTTTAATCTTTCTTTCGGCCTTGCCATTTTGAGGAGAAGTATATGGACAAGAAAAACGAAAGGTCATACCATTTTGTTCACAAAATTTTTGAAAAGGATTTTTGGTAAATTCCGTTCCATTATCACATTGGAAAGCCTTAATCTCCCTCTCAAATTAAGTCTTAATATATGTTCGAACACGAATAAATAAATCATAAACTTTAGACTTTGAAGAGATAGGAAAAGTCCATAGAAAATTCGTGTAATTGTCGAGAAAAAGAACATAATATTTGTGACCAAGAGAGCTAACAATTGGAGAGGTCCATAAATCACTGTGAACAATATCAAAGGGCATAATAGTATGAGACATTGAATCATAAAAAGGCAATTTCATTAATTTTCCCAAAGGACAAGAATGACAAACATGCTTTGAAGCCTTATTACAATTTATGAGATTAATACTACGCAAGGAACTAAGAATTGCATTTCCCGGATGGCCTAAACGGGAATGCCACACACTAGGAGAAACAACTGCAAAAGCCCCAAAATGAACTAGGAACTAACAATTGATTTTCTGATACTACCTCCGGATCATATTATATGCAACTTTGGGGTATTATTTGTGCGATATAAAAAATTTTAAAGTTGCATATAATATGATCCGGAGGTAGTAATAGCCCCAAAATGTATTTTTGTGGAAATGAATTAGATTGTATTTTTAAAGTAAGCCCTTATGTTTTACCCTCTTGCTTGAAATTGGTCCGAGTTGTGTATTGTTTGCTTTTATAATATTCTCAAAGGTTTTTTTTTTTTTTTTTTTTTTTTTTTTGGTGTTTAGAGATCCACAAGGACGGGTGATGATAATCGATCCCAAAATCTAACCACTTGAAATATCCATCACTCTCTTTGAAAACGATTGATGGCGTACTCGTAGTATATATATTAATTAAAATTATTGAGTTTATTACTTCATATAAGATTGTTGTTTTTTTTTTTCCACCTAAATGTGTTTGGCAATAACTTGATAAAAAAAAATAATCTATTTGATTATAGTTTAATTACTCGTTTCCTCGACAATTTCCACTATACTACTTTCGAAAGTAACAAGTTACAAGTAAGGTTAACAATTATATTGTTTGATCATATGGTATGTGGCGAGGAATCCTAGTACAAATACTTCTTTAACTATTAGCATAAATAAACATCATTTTTTTTGGTATATCCATGTTTTGTTCAGATTGATACTTTGTACACTTTTGTAGGATAACTATTTATTTATTGAGAAAAATTGAGCAGCTGAATGAATTATTAATGTGGTCATTTAGTCAAGAACAATGGTGCTTGATCTTATTTTATGTATCATTATTTTGACTTTAATTTGGTAAATGAAACTACCATGCAATTGTCATAAATGAAAGGAATCTACCGTGGGGGTGTTAGTTTCATATATAGTTTGTTGTTGGTCTCATTAGTATAAGGAATCCTTGGATGTACTAATTGGCGTGGTCAATTGGACTTGACGAGTTAAGCAAGGTTTCAGTTTATAAATAATTAACTAGTAATTGACCCGTTCATAAATTATAAGTTTGATTAAAGTAATTTAGAAGAGTTAATGTTGAACAATATTAATAACTAACTGAATATGTAATAAGAGGTCAATACTCAATATGAAAAGTTTTTCAATTAAATTAAACACTATTGTATTATATATAGCATTAAAGTTAGACCAATGAAGAGTTTTTGTTAAAGAGACTAAACATTAATACAATTCAATATGATGAGAGAAGAGGGATGACACATAGGATGACATGTAAAGCATATGTGGCATATGAGTGACACATGTCGTTAGCATGTTGTCCCCATGACTTTTAATAATATTATAGATACGTAATGATCACATTACTTGACTATATATTACTCCCTCCGTTTTTAAATACTTGCTCCATTTCTATTTTTTGCACTATTCATTTATCGTACTTTGACTAATGTTTGTGATTTATACATAAGAAACAACGCGTCTTGTGTGCGGCTGATCACACCAAATGACCACTTATAAAATAACAAAGTAATCCTTTGAATACAAATTAAACCGAGTAACCCCGATAATACTAATAGAGTAACCCCTATAACACTAACGAAGTAACCCTTATAACACTGACGAAACCCATGTAACACTGACCAAGTAACCCCTATATAACACTAACGAAGTAAATTGTAACCCCATGGTGATTGTCTGTGTGGCCACATATAAATTCCTAATGTCACACAATTTACACAATTGAACAAATTATTCGTTAATCAGCGTCAATACTCAATAGGCATTATTCCATGAGAGTGATAAGAAATTTCATTGTAGAGTTGCTGACAACAAAAGTCAAAAAAGAATCTATCACCAATTTCTTAATATGTATTTTGAATTAATTTAATTAGCTCTATGGTCTTCCAATTAGGTTTTAATAATTTTGTTTGGGTGACAAATTAACGATGGGCTGGTTTGTTGGTTACTGAAAACTTCAATCTATGTGTAATGTGTTCAATTATGTAGTCGTCTGTCATTTAAAAAAAAATTGAAAACTTACTTAAAAGTAGTAATTAAACTAGATATTTAACTTAAATGTTAAACTTCTCATAAGTTGACTTATATAATAAAAATTCCGTAGATTTTGAATATTCACACCTTAGTACCTTACTAGCTACATTGTACATAATCATGTTCAATGCAAGTTACATGATTAACCTGATCGGACATATAGTTATTTGTTAACCAATGAGAAGTTGACTTATATAATAAAGATTTTGTACATATTTTAGGTATTGGTCACACCTTACTAGAATACTAGCTACGTATTAATGTTCCATGCAAGTTACATGATTAACATGATCGGACATACAATTATTTGCTGACCAAGGAAACATTTTCTATGTTAAAAATAGACCACCTTCTTCGTAGTTGGTACTACTTGGCTATATAAACAAGCTTCTTTGCTACTTTAATTGTCAAGGAGCTAGCTTGCAACGAACATTATATAGCCCCTAAACACATATACAAAATCAGGTACAACTTAAGAAGATTATAGTCTATTTAAATTCTTATATTTTGATTTCTTTGATAATCACTCTTAATTTTTGCATTGTTAATGAATTTAGCAGGATATAGATATTTAATATCTAGTAAAAACCAATTCTAAAGACTAAGTTTTTTTTTTTTTTTTTTTTTTTTTTTTTTTTTTTTTTTTTTTTTTGGTGTTTAGAGAGCCACAAGGGTAAGGGTGAGAATCGATCACAAGATCTCCTAGAATCGGGAGGGAAGCTCTAACCACTTAAGTTACTCCTCACTCTTAGCGAATGGAGGAGCAAGCTGGTGCAACACAGGTAGAAGAGGCTACTAGACCCGGCGAAGTACCACCTTCGATTTCCATAGAAGAGATGATCGAGCAGAATGTTGGTCGTATAAACATGACACAAATCTTACAAGCCCTCCTCGCATCATTACCTGCCTTTTTCGACAGTCAGCAAACATACATGAGTATATTTGCTCATGCTCAACCAACATGGCATTGCACAAGTAGTACTTATAATAACACCTCTTGTATCTCTAATAAGTCTAACATATGCACCCTTTCGAAGAACGAATGGGCTTGGGATTCTAGCAACGACGTGCACACCTCGATCATATCACAGTGGGATCTCGAGTGTGCTAGTCCCTTCATCACCGGCCTCCCTACGACTTGCTACTTTGTT